AGAAACAAGAATATTACTTACTTCTATGACTCTTTTAAATTTGATAGCCAAGAGCAAAATTGGAGGCAAACAGCAGCCTCTCCAACTCTACACCTGGTGGATTGGAGGTTTATAGGATCTTTATCAAAGGGGCAATTTAATTTTGTAGGATTTGCTTAAATTCACTGCTATTTTGGGGGGCTGAGGAGAAGGAAGGGTGAGGGGAGAGCAACATGCTTTATCTAGCTTTATGAATACACCAACATTACCCTGATTTAAAACCCAAGAACCTGTGTCTCTGAGAAACTCCTACAGAAAGGAGTGGGGGAGTGAGGGGGGGCTCAGCTTTCTCAATGACTGTGGCCCCCTTAACCAAGCAGTTGCCAGGGGAAAGGAAGAAAAGCCAGAGGCAAGGGAAGGCGGCTCTAAGTCTCTCCACCACCAGGACACCCGGAGGTTTATGGTGTCCCCATAATTCCCCCAACCTTATAAACAGCTGCCCTATTTTAGGACTATTTTTGCTTCCTCCCCTCAGAAAGAGAGAGTGAGGGAGGAGGTAATGGCGGGAGCAGGGTGCCAAAAGAGGAGGGAGTTGAGGATAGCCCTGCACTTTGTTCTCCTGGGTGAGTTTGCTGGTTTGGCGGGTTTCTGACGCAGGGTGGCAGCAGACAAAATAAGTAAACAACTCACAGACACAATAAAAACAGGGGCAGCTGCGGCACCGTGGCAGAGTCCGTGGGCCAGATGGGGGGCACAGTTTGGAGGTAATGTCACCTGAGAATTCCAGGGTGATCGAGGCCCAAAAGCCCAAGGCCACCCTTGGTGGTGGTGGAGAAAAGGTGGGAGAAAGCTGCGTGCCTCCACACCCACAGCATGTCTGGACAGGAGAGTGTTGGGAGGAAACTGATCGCTTAGGGTGTGGAGGAAAATCTCACCAGCCCCTCTCCTGTCCTTACTCTCTTTCATGGGGTTTTTCATGGACACTTATATATTCTGATCTGTCCTCCTCTTTCTGTGGCCCCAGAAAGGAGAAAGGCTAGCAAAGGATGCTGGTTAATTCCCAGTCACAGCTCACACTCAGTGCTTGCTCCGGGCCCAAAGGCGGCCAGACCCAGCCTTTTCTCTAGTACTGCTCTAGCCTTATCACAGACTTATGTAGCAGAGAAGATTAAAAGGAAGTTCCACCAGTAACCAAATTTGCATATTTGGGGAACCCAGAGGGTCCCTAATCTGCCCCCTCCAGACAATGCAGGCAAATCTGGGGCCCAGTGAGCAGTTAGGGTGAACAGGGGTGGGAGACAAGATGTTCACTGTATACCTACACATTCTTGCTCACCTCTCAACCAGTCTCTGTAAGCACCCTTAGTCAGCAGCCACCCCAGACCACTGCCCAGAGGCAGCCTTATTAACCACTCCAAAGTCCTTCACTGCCCCAGCAAGGCTTCATTCAAGTCCTGGGCCAAGCGAACTGTTCAAAGGCCCATCTCCAAAGCCCCACCCCACGAAAGACTTTCTCACAGAACTCTCTTTCAACACAACTGGGTCCCGCTGGTAAAACAGTCTCTGAGTGGGGGAAGTTTGCGAAGAGGTGTGGAGAGGGAGCAGAAGGGATTCAGTATTTCCCCAGCCCAGCTGCTTGGGCAGCGAAAGCAATAGGTCTGAGAAAGCCTTTGTGGCATCTGTTACTGGAACCCGCATACTCCGATTCCAGCACGCACACATTTCCAGCAAAGCATGCACAAAAGCCCTTTTCAGTGCCCCCAGTGCCTCCTTGAGCCCATTCCTATCTAGTGAGGGTTAACAAAATTTTGCATGCACATAAAATGGTGTTTGAGCGAATACAGGCATGGTAATATACAATTAACCACCAAGGAAATATGAGTCTTTATATATTCACACATAAGTCTGAGTCTGTACATTTGAGCCTGTATATAATAAATGTATAAAGATACAAAGCCTGGTTTTGGAACATAACAGCCAACCCAACAAGGCAGCCTTCTCCAAACAAGGGTGTATTCTTCGTGGGGATCACAACTGTCAAACCAGAGAGAGAAAGGGTTTGCTTTGCCCATTTCTCCTTAGCTTGAAACTAGCACATGAAATACAGCCCATGGCAGGGCTGACAAAGCCCTTAAGGGGCAGGCCTGAAGTGCCCAAAGAGTGGACTAAGAAGGGACCACTAGGGGCCTTGGGCCAGACACTGACCCATAGATTCAGTGCCTCTGCCCAGCCCTAGCCCTGGAGGTGCTGAGTCCTTGAGCCAGATTCTATTCTCAGCTACCCTGGCTATTATTAGATAATCACAGCAGTGCTCTCCTGCACTAAGGGCCATGTCTACAGAGTATATGGCCTGTGAGGAGGCTGAGGGTTGCCACTGATGGCCCTTCTTGTGCTTATGTTTGAAAGCCAGAGAGGGAGAAAAAGAAGGGAAAGAAAATCGAAAGTAAGGAGGGGGCTGGAGTTGGGGTTGGATTTATCCCCTGGCCAGATGAGACAACTGGAAAATCAGGGTAATCATTGCTGCTATGCTTTCTCTGCTCATGAGGAGGAGTCTAGGGGTGAAGGGTGTGGGGGCCTGCAGGACCCTAGCCAGGAAGGTACAGAAAATCAATTGATAAAAATAATTTATAAGAACATCTCAGGATGGTGCTGTACCTGACAACCATGAACCTAGCTCCTTAAAATCTCGCCAGTAGCACAAATGGCGAGATCCCTATAGGCTAAGAGAAATACCCCAGCCTTACCCAGGCCCACCCCTCTGAAGGGAGGGTGGCCCTTCTAATATCCCAGGTGAATGCCCACTGGCCTGAGTGACCTTTTCTGGAGACTGTTTTCCTGAGGGCAAACAAAGGAGACTTGTGCCCCCCAACCCGGTCGGTGCGGCCATCCGCAGGGGTGAGGGCAGACAGCGGGGACAGACAAAATACAGGCGAAAGAGAAATAGAGGCCTCACCAGTCGGCGGTTCCCACATTACGCCAGGAGAAAGGCTCCCATTTTCAGGCCTCCGGGGCTCCTCCACTGGCCCACTGTGCTCCCCTTGCCCATTTCAGGTCCCACAGACGCGGGGGCTCGGAGGCCGTGGCCTGGCTCCCCGGGGCGGCAGCCCCAGGGCCGCGCTGGGGCCGCGGAAGAGCGCGCGGCAGCCGGAGCCGGCGGCGGGCTGGGCCCATTTGGGGAGAGCCAAGCGCTTTTCTCGATCGTAAACAAGGAACGCGAAATTAGCCCCTCGGCAGACGCCTCTGCCGACACACAAGTCCTATTGGGTGGGGGCGGGAAGGGGGAGAGAAAATGCCATTTCTTCCCCGGGGAGAATACCTCAGAGGCCTTTCTGTCGGCTGAGAAAGGGAATTTTAGGGGGGCAGGAGAGGAAGGGAAGGGGATTGGGGGGAGGGGAAGGAAGATTCACCATCAACTCGGGCCCAAGGGGCTTGATTTGAATGCAGTCGAACTATATTTTCAAGAATTTGATAAAAACAGATTCTCTCCCCCTAACTCCCCCCAGGCGACGGGTCAGGGCTTAAACAGGAAATCCAGGAGCGTTCCCCTCCCCCACTCGGGTTAGGCAGAGAAGCCGGGTCGCGCCTCTGGGAGAGGATGCGGGTCGGGTGTGTGTGTTGGGGGGCAGCTCTTGGCTCGGACTGTAGGTGTTTGGCCCTTAGAGTCTCGGACCTCTGTCGGAATATACTCCCTCCTCCCCCAGCTCTTGGGTGTGTCTGCCTTGGTGTGTAAGCGTTTGTGTATGCGTCGCCCTTTATAAACAGAACCTCACACGCATAGGGGCGACCTCGGACCTAGGCCAGGGAGCAGGGCGGGGGGTCGTATATCAAACTGCAATACATTCAGGGCCACGTACATTTGGAAGAAATTAAGCCACTGTGTTATGAAACCATATGTGTCGGGTTAAGACTATACAACACGCCGTTAGCACCAATTATTAGGAAGATCCCGAGAGCCCAGGACCCTCCGGGCCGCCCAGTTCGGACGTCCCTACCCTACGAGCCAGCCGCGCCTTAGTTTTCACTGCCTCCACTCACCCAGGAGGCCCCGCTGATGAGGACTGGGCCTGTCCGCACCCAGTCTGGGGCCTCCCCAATTCCCACCTCGGCTCCAGACAGGGCAGATCCTAGCCTAGAGCAGCCAGGCGAGGCGTGTAAAGCAGCCCAGTGGATATCCTGGGTGGGGTGGCCAGCGGTTGGGGCAGCGGACGCGGGGTCGGGGACGAGAAGGCATATTGGCCCCCTTTTTTCCAAGCACAAGATGGCTTTGGGGTATACTGCGTCCTCCACCCCCATCCATCCACCCACAGTGTAGGGCACCTCCCATCTTTCCGCCCGCTGGGTTTGGGCGGGATCAGGGGGTGGGCAGACGCTCTCCCCTCCGCTGACGCGCACCAGCCACCAACCTCCCCCCTAATTGCCAATTAACAGGCCCCGCCGCCTGCCTAGCTGAAATCGCTTCCTGCTCCGCGGCCCGGCACTGGCCCCGCACTGCGCATGTGTGAGCTAGCGGTAGCGCTCACACGGAGGGAGGGGGCTGCGGAGCTGGGAGGGGGTGCTGGAAAGTTTGTTTGCGGTTGGGGGGCTGACTTTGCTCAGGGAGCAGTGGTTACAGCCTACAGGTTCTCTCTCCTGCCCTGGAGTTTGAGCTTCGGGGGGCCCCTCTCCGTCCCAGTCCCATTAGCCAAGAGGCCGTCGATTTGTAGCAGGTAAGAGCACAGGCAGCATGTCGGCGCACTAGAACCGGCCTTGAGCCCCACAGGCACAGTCCTCTTGCCCCCCATCCCCATCCCAAACCCCAACTTCGCCGCACAATGATATCAGGACAACACACTTGTCCACTACCATATCCCAGCAAAACCCAATCCCCCCCACTTTTCCTCCCCGTAATTGCCCTCGGGCCCACCCTCTCGCCAGCCCCCTCTTCTCTCTAACCAAGACAAGCCGCTGCTGTCCTTATCTTGAAACCGCCACCCAGCTACGGACCATTAGTTACATATTTGAACCAATAAGGAAACACTTACCGGGCGCTGCTGTCACTCTCCCTCTCCCTCTCTCTCTGCCTCTCTCTCTCTCTCTCTCCCACTCTCTCTTTCTCGTCTTCCCTCATTCTGTGCCGCTGCCGAGCCTGTCTCAGCTCCACAGACACATATATACTTTATATAAATTCAAAAATAAAAAAGAATAGTCGCAATGATCAAAAAGCCAAATAAAATTAAGGAGAGTTGCAAGAAAGAGGCAGAGGGAGAGCCTGGGAGAGGGGAGGGGCGGAGGCATATGCAGCTCCGTATCTCCACTCCCGCTCCCGTATTCCTCCTGCCCCTTGGGGGGCTAGAGGGTTGGGAAGGAGAGAGAGGTGCCCTCAACTCCTGCCTCTTCCCCCTCCCCTTCCCTAGGTGCTCCCAGCTTCAGGCAACTCCACCTTGGAGGAAAAAATTAAATGGGGGGATAAAATAATTATTAATCAGATTAATAAAAAAAAATACTGGTAATGAAGGGAGAGCCCAGCGCAGGTTTCCCTGGCAATGGTTAGGCTCTTACAGGGAGGACTGTTCTGCGGAGCGCTCCGAACGGACAAACCACAATAAAAAGTTCACGTTCATGGATGGAATCCACATGACTTCTTGTGGCCAATCCAACTTGTGAGTCGATCGTAAACTTTTATTACTCAGCTGTAAATTTTCTGCAAACAACCGGGAATGCGATGCATTTGTGTAGCGTGTGCAAATGGGCGCCGCGGTCGCCATGTTTACCCAATTCTCTCGGAGAGGGAGCATCCCCAGACCCCCACCCCACCCACCGCCCACTCCCCACGGGCCGCCCTGCTCCCTGCTAGCGGGAAAAGGGCAAAGGGGGGACACGAGAGGAGGGAAGGAAGGATTCTGGCGCTGAGTGGGCCGCCTCCCTCTTCCATGCCGTATTTTAAATATTTTCCTTAATAAATGGGTTATTAAAGTCGCATCTGGGTGGACTAAGCTTTGCAAAGGTTTGTGACATTGGAGCAGTAACGGCTGGCAGGGTGAAGGGACTGAGAAGGGATGAGCTCCCTGCCCCTACCTTTTTTTCCTAGAAAGTGAGCATTGTTCTCAGTGGGGCGCACCGGCAGCCCCCCAATCCAATCCACACAGGAATGGGAAGAGCAGGCGGCTGGAAGCCTCATTATCAAGCCTGCTCTGGTCGTGGTCTGAAGAGCCCAGAGGGCTTAGACTGGTGCTGGGCAGTCCTGCAGAGGCAGCAGGAAGGGTGGGAATTTGGAGCAGCCTCAAAGGATGAAAATGAGGATCCCTCATTCCCAGCTTCTTTTCTCAGAGAAAATGACGTTTCCCCCCCAAAAAACTGTCCCTAGTATCGGGTCTCCTTAATTCCTAGGTTCAGTCGGTAGCTTATTCCCAATCTTTCTAGAACTAAAAATAAAATTAAGTCCAAGGTCCTGGTTCTCACTTCTTTTTCCTTTGGGTGCAAGGCTGATAGAAGCCTTTTCTGTCTTGTCAGGTGGCCCACACCCGCCTGCTTTTTAACTAAAATGTCCCGTGCCTGGGCAGCTGGGACACACCTTGAAGACTCTGAATAAAGAAACTTCTCCCTCCCTGAATTCCAGCTTTTATCCTAAATTCAGGGCACCTGAAGCGTCGCCACACCTTTCTCCAGACTCCTAATTTTCTTAAGGAGCCCAGTGTGGGGGAGCCCAGAGTAAATATCCCCACATAGACTATTTGACAATCAGTCGCAGCCCAGCCACACTCCCCACTAGCTGGAGATTTGAAGGCCCAAAGCTCTCCCCAAGTCAAGCATGGAGCTGGCATGGGGACTTCCACGGCTGGGTGCCCCACTCCAACCAACAGGGGGTCCCTCAACCCCCCCAAACTTCCTCCACAGTAAGCGAAGCAGTTCCCTCCGCCGGATGAAGGGACCTCGTTTCTTTTACAAACCCACCCATAAATTTTATAACAGGTAGTTAAAAATTACGACAAGGAAGCACTGGCCCAGCTTTTCACAATGGGCCGCGGGGAGAATGGGGCAGCGCTGCGGGCAGCTCACCGGAAATTTTACTTCTAGTCTGTGGCACAACCTGTCCCGAGTTCGCTCTAATTGGGGCGGGGTAACTTTCTCCAGCCGGCGCGCAGCCGCTGGGGCATCTCATTTGGGGAAGATGCGGTTGGGGAGGCCAATCCACTCTCCCATGCTAGGGTTCTTCTCTAAGGAGCCCTTTAGGGCACTCACTACTTCCCTCACCCACCAGGTCTCCTGCAGGCCCGCGACTCCCTTGGCCTCTGCGAAGTGGGGAGAGAGAGAACATGCCGAGAATTTTTTTAATACAGAGAAACGAATTTGCCCCCCAACTTAATAGCTGCATTATCCTGTCCTTATGACTGAAATTAGAATAATAAATTCAAGGCGAAATGAGAGAGATGCTTCAACTCAGCATTTTGAAAGATACTACTTTTCACAATTCACAAATAGCTTTCGGAGGCCACTTTGATTGGCTAATAAAAAAGTAAAGAATAGGAGAAAGTCCTATCTGCTGCAGTCCAATGGTCCCCATTCCGATAATGGGACGGCGGGAGCATTTGGGAGGACGCGTTTCTAAAGAGAGCGCATCCCGCTCGCAATTAAGTTCTCCCATAAAACGGGTTTTGCCTCCTTTTCTCTCCAAACGAGAAAACAGAGGCGGTGGGCAGAAGGGGTGGGGGGAGCGGGTGCTGCAAGAGGGGGTGGCTGGCGCTCTCCTGGTCTGGCCCACCGAGGCTTCGCATCTCAAGCGCTGCCGGGCGCCAGATGCACCCCGACTTCCGACGCCGGGCTTTGGGGCCACAGGCACTGCTGAGCAGGGCCAGGGATGAACGGAGCACTTGGTCTGGAGAGAAATTCCTTGAGGTCCTTCGGAGCTGCTTAGTGGAGGGTTCAAACCACTCGGCTACTGGGCCGACGGTTTTTATTAATAGCAATCATAATTCCACATTTAAAAATGAAACAGCCCTTTGCCGGCCCTAGGAGTCTGGAGGGGACGTCCGTGGGAAGGCCTGAGATCGGAGCGAAATGCTCTCTATTCGGGCCTCCCCGGGTGGGTAGCGGTGTCTCTCCCAGCAAACGGGGTTACCTGGATGATGCAGCGGCTCGCAGTAGGGACCCCTAGGTCCCGATTTCCCCCAGAGCTGCTCAAAGCTGTTGCCGGCTGACCGCAGCCTGCGCTTCCAATCGGTAGCCTCTCTTTGGCTGCAGCAGACCCCTATCAATGATGCCTGACCCAATTCAGGACCACTATGCGTGGGAGCCAGGCACCCAGACGCGGGTGAAATTACACAAAACAAGAGCCAGCTGGGTTTAAGTCCGTCCAGAAATCATTGATGAGACTAGAGAGGGAGAGATCTGGACTCAAAAATAGTTCGGTCTTTAGGGGTGTCTGGGTTTTAAGGCCAGAAAATCTCATCCCCTTCCTTTCCTCCTCTTCTGACTGAGTCAGATGATTTATATTTCTGGAATTTGGTATTATTTGACCAGGATCTTACAAGCATAAACAGATTTCTCTGTCTAGAACCCTTTAGGGAGGAGGGAGAGACCCCACTGCCCTCTGAGTCCCTTAGCCTTTGGCCCTTTATTTTGAGGTATGAGTAGTTCAATGGAGACTATTTCCCCTGCTATGGCTGGGTTGCAGGACTGTCCTCTAAGCAGGCCAACCCCCTCCCCCAGGGCAATGGCCCATACTGTGAGGCTACCCAGTTGCCAACTTGAAGCTGAGAGCCAGCTTGAAACTACCAGAACAGAGGCTAGAACAATGTAAATTGGGGTTGGGGGACAGTGATGGCTCTGTGCTAGCCTTACATGAATGTCAGGATGTGGACTCAGGCTGCTTGGTGTACCAGCTCCCTCACCTTCTCCTTCTCCTCTCCTTTCGCCAGGTTTATGATTCCTCATTCTCTGCCCTTAGGCATCTTCCAGCCAAGTCCTCCAGGCTGCCTTAAGCCACACAGTCTTCTCACCCTGTTTACTATTCTAGTGCTGGGTGCTGGGTGCCAAAGGCTGGCCACAAGGGGCATATGGAGATCAGAAAGAACCCCATTGCCTCATCCTCAGCCCTCAACCACTGGAAGAAAAAGGCCTACCTGCTGGAGGGGCATGGAGGCAGATTCTTTGTCTGGGTTCAGCCCAGGGCTGAGGAGGAAGAGGGTGGATAAATGGGGAGACACTTTCTTCCCATTGGAATCCTGGCATCCAGAAACCCACTTTGTTTGGAGCCACGATTCCCCCCCAGAGCACACTGCTTTTGTTTCTCCTCTTCACCCTCCATTCTTCACCTGCCTCCTAGCCCAGCCTGCCCTCTCAACTCCTAAGCTCCTCTCCATGTGAGTTCCCCCCACCCCAAAGTCAGATCAGTGGAAGAGACTTTTTCTAGACTATTGGGAAAGAAGGACAAGGAGGGAAGAGGGGGTAGAGAATGGGGGATGGGGTGAGACGGAGAAAAAGCAAGTCATTCTACCTTCAAATATTTTTTCTCCTTTTTTTAATTATGATTCACGTATACAATACAAAGTACTTGGACCAGGAACAGGGCTGCCAGGACACAAAATCTACATTCATAGCTGGACATAAAGACAAATGACCAAAAATTATTGTTATAGATATATTTTTAACGTTTTTTTTCCTTTCGAGCACATTGCATAAACAGAGAATTCAAGACAGAGTTAACTATACATTCAGTGCAATTTAGTTCTACTCTACTGGGGTTAGAAGCACAATAAAAAGCGCACAGGACCGGCGGGCTAGGCAGTCTCAGTTGTTGGGTTTTCTTAGTGAAATAAGCAGCGACAAACGACAACAAAACTGCATTACAAATACTCTCAAAGCAGGATTTCTTCCTATAGGTAGTGATAAAATATGTTGGAGGTTTCTTTCTTTTTTTATTTTATTTTTTTTCTCTTTTTTTCTCACTTATTAGGATTTTTTAAAATTTATCTGTTTTATTTTTTCAAGGTTATTGCAAGTTCCCTTTAGGTAGTATGTTAAAGATTTATTATTAGTATTATTAGTATCATTAATATTATTTTCATGACTATGGCGATTTCTGAGCGCTAACACTAACGTAGCTCAGAGGTAGCTGGGCCCAACAACAGAAATCAGACAGTGGAGGGGAGGAAGGCATGGGCCCGAGTGACCATGGGATGGCTAGGTAGGATTTTCATGGCGACTGCAGGCTCCTATCTATCCCATGGAAGGAGGGAAGGGAGAGACCCACATCGCCTTCGGTTTTCATCAGGTTCCTAGAAAAAGTCAAGGGGTCTTTCTAAGCAGGGAGCCCCAGAGGTGAAGAAGGGATATTTCTTGCTATCATTAAAAAAAAATTCTTTGAACATCTTTTCTTTCCTTTCCTTCCCTCTTTTCTCCACATTTTCTTTCCTTTCCTTCAAAAAAAAAAAAAGGTGAATCTAATATAGTAATCCTAGCATAAAAACAAAGCCACGAGTCTTCTTCCACATTTTGTGGGGACTCCCCTCTAAAATAAATACCAGAGAATCAGTGAGGTGGGAGTGTGGCAAGAAGGGGCCAAGAGAGGGGGCCAAGAGGCCAGGTCTCAGACCTTAAAATCCAGGCAGGACTCTGAAGGGTGGAGGCAGGGACAAGTGTGTGTGTTGGGACAAGGACTAAGACAGAGTCCCAACTTTTCACTATGTCTCAGTCTCCCCCCTCCAGCCCCCAAACAAGTAAGATTGGGGGAAGTCCAAAGGTTATAAAACCAGAGCTGCAAGTATCTGACAGGTAGTTAGAGTTGTGAGTGTCATTCTATTCTCTATAAAAGCAAATGACAGTCGTAAACTTCTCAATTTATCCGCTACCATAAAACGAAACTTCAAGGGAGTTGCTAAGGGGGGGGGTCCTCTTTTTTTTTGCTTAGTCCTTGTTTTCTTCCTTTTCCTCCTCTTCTTTCTCCTCTTCCTCATTTCCTTCTTCCTCCACCTTCTCCTCATCTCGGGCTCCAGGCAGTTTATCCTTGTTGTTCTCCTTTTTCCACTTCATTCTTCGGTTCTGGAACCAGATCTTCACTTGTCTCTCCGTCAGTCCCAGAGCGTGAGAGACTTCAATCCGGCGCTTTCGTGTCAAATAAGGATTAAAGAGAAACTCCTTTTCTAGTTCCAAGGTCTGATACCGGCTGTAAGTTTGCCTTCCGCTGCGCCGCCCGGGAGCTGGACAGAACAGAACCCCAGTCTGGTTATGTTTGGGTAGGGCCCCTGCCACTCTTCCTCCCCTAAATCCCCCCTCCGATCTCCCCAGGTCCCCTCCCTCCTGCGGAGAAGACAGGAGCAGAAAGCGGGCAAGGGCAGGAAAGTTTGGGGGCTTGTTTTGGTTTGGCTTCACCTTGGGAGGAGGGGTGGGGGTGGGGCAGGGACCGAGGTCTGTCTGGAAACTATGGTTGGCAGGGGCCAGGGAAGCACTGCAGAGTCCCCGAATCCCCCCAGGCCTGCAGTCCCAGGAAACTAGCCCTTGCAGCTTTGTTTACAAGTGCAGAGTGGCATTTGGTGAGCAAGGCTGTTTCCAAAAGAAAGGAAAAAGGTCTGGGGGTAAAGAAGAAGGGCTCTGCTCACTGCCCGCTCCTTGAATCTCTCTACCTAATGCTTTCCTGGGAAGTAAAATAATTGATCTCCTGGAATGTATCACTGCTTGGCCTGATTGCTAACTGGAGACCAGCAAATAAATCACGGGCCATCCCCGCAGTAACTTGTCGCTTTCTTGCTTCCCCTTTTACTTCGAAATTGGGCCATGAGGGCCACCCTGGAGGGGCTCATGACCTGAGCCACTCTGAGGGTCTCAGGGAGACCCCACAAGACTCTGACTGGGGGCAACCTGGTGAAGATTCCCTGGACCTCAGAGCCCTCAATCTGCATAGCCTCTCTCCTCTCAAGCCTTCCGTTTTCTCCTGTCTCCCTCTCTTCTCTCCAACTGAGGGAAGTAAAGCAAAGTTGGGGCTGTGGCCCTAAGGCTAGCTCTTTAAGAGGAGGCAGTGGGCACCTCTGAGAGCCTGAGCACCTGTCCTTGGGGGTCCCACCACTTCTGATTCCAGCTAAGGGGAGAAACAGGGGTTTCCCTTTGCCCCAGGGAAGCCTGGTCACTGTCCTGGACTGAAGCTCTCTGCCTTGTGGAGAATCTGGTTTGCTCCAAAGGCTGAAAACCTCAGGGTCATCCAGCCCCTGCCCAGTAACCTCCCCAAGTTTGACTTTAGAGCTGGCTAGAGGGAGAGACAGAGGTGGAGAAAACGACTTTTAACCCTTTGAACCCAGACACCACCTTTCCCTCCACCTCCACGCTAATCCCCCAAATATCCGAAGCAGCCCCGTGCCCCACCCCCAGCTGAATCTCCCGACCTCTAGGAACCCACTCAGGCACGGGGGTGGGGCTGGAGAGACCCCAGAGCCAGGAGGGAAAGCCAGGGCAGACAAAAAAGAGGCAAGGAAGTGGGGGTGGGGGCGGGGGAAGACCCCGGAGCGCGGGAGACCAAGGGGGAAAGAGAAAAGGCTTCTCACCGTGGGGTCTCATCCATGGAAACATGAGGCTGGGAGACGAGTTTTGATTTAAGTGGCCTTGTCCTTCGCTACTGTTAGTGTTGGCAGAGGATTTACAGTCGGGATATTGCACCACGCTCGCCTCTTGCTGAGCCCCATAAAGGGACTGTCTGGGGAGCGCCTCGTAGCCATAGAATTTGGAGGCGTCTCCGTGGCAGCTCAGCGAGCACGGGTTCTGCTGGTAGCCCGAGTTGGAGATGCCCGAGGTGCCGTGGTGGAAGAAGTCTTGGACGTGGTGCGAGGCGTGCTGGAAGCCGGGCGCCGAGCCGCCGGGCCCGTACACCAGCGCATGGCTCCTGCCCACGCTCTGGGGGAACCGGCAGTCGTAATAGGCCGGTTCCAGGGACTCGCCGCCTTTGTATTTGGAGAACAGGGGGTTGACGAAGTAGGAGCTCATGCTGGGCACATGAAACCCGCGGCCCCCTCCCCTATGGCTCAAGACTCCCCCGCCCGGTACCCCTGAAACTCCCCTCCCCCCGGGAGCGAACCCCCGGCCGGCCGGCTCCCCGGGGCTGGGCTGGGCTAGGCGGGTGGGCTGGGGCTGGGCAGATGGGGGGCGCCTCGGTGCCGAGCCCGGCCGGCTCAGCGCGGCTCCCGGGGCTGGGGCGCGGCGGCGGCGGCGGGCGGCGAGCGGGCGGCGGCGGCGGCGGCGGCTCTCTTCACTGTCGGTAGGTAGAGCTCGCGCTCTCTCACTTAGCTCTTTCCTTTAACAGCCCAGGCGAATTCCTCAGACTCCCGGCGGTGGCGGCGCTTACACGCGATTCGCGTTCATCAATCCACGACATGAAGACAGGCGAGAGAGAGAGAGAGAGAGAGAGAGAGAGAGAGAGAGAGAGAGAGAGAGAGGAGAGAGAGAGAGAGAGAGAGAGAGAGAGAGAGAGAGAGAGAGAGAGAGAGAGAGAGAGAGAGAGAGAGAGAGAGAGAGAGGAGAGGGATGGCGAGGGGTTGAGGGGTTTGTTTCGGTGCTGGGGGGACCTGGAGGAAGGGGAGGGGAGGAGAGGAAAGGGAGGGATGGGGGTGTGGTGTATGTGTGTATGTGGGGGGTGGTGAGCCAGCCCCAACTAATGGCTGGGGCCAGCCTCTTCAAGGTGCGCGTTCAGATTTGAAGGTGTCTACCCCCCTTCTCTTTTCCTTCCTCTTAGAGAGATACCTGAGCCAGCAGGTCAACTCAGGTTACCTCAACAAGTATAAGACCCCTGAAGGGGTGGAATGCCAGCAAGTGTGAGCAGGTCCTCTAACCCAAAAATGGGTTCCCTCAAGGGGTCCTTCAGGCTGGAGACTTTGAGGAACAAGCGCCTCGCATCCCCAAATATTTCAGGCCTCGAAAGTCTCTACTTCCCTTGCTCCTCCCCAGGGTGGGAAGCTGCCCTGCCTTCCCTTGATCTTTAAGAATCTCTTGTCGTCTCTATGTGGGTGGAGGTGAGGGCCCAAGGTGGGGGCACACTGTATACCTAGTCAGGGCCACAGTGTTTCTTCAGACACCTGTCTGAGGAAAGAAGCCCAGGCAACAGCCAGGAGCTTCGCTGGGAGCTCTTAGAGCAAAGCTTGTGGGGACCGAGAAGGAGAGGGTAGCTGGTGGGTCCCTGGCTCCTGGCTGGGCTGATCCAGGATGTTTCTTCTTAGAACACTACTTGTATCTAGGTTGGAGGAGACTGGTGGAGACCTCTTGTCCCCACATAACCTAACCCCATAGGAAATTCCAGCTTAGCCTAGAGGGGCCCCCTGGCTTCACCTTACCCCCTACTTCCTAGACAGGCTGCCCAGGCCAGGATGTAGATGGGAACTGTCAACACTCTAAACATTTACCCACACTTTCTCTAGGGGGTTCCCCCCATCACCAAGACTGGGTAAATTCAAGTTAATTCTACCAGATAAAAGAACCTTAGTCCATCAGCACCCTTCTGTGGCCATAAGTGAGTGTGGTTGGTTATGTGAGCTTAACACAGAAAGAAAAGGGAGAAAGTGAGATGTGGATACGTGTGCTGTGTGCATACGAATGAAGAAGAGGAATACGAATGCTTTTTCCTGTCCTCCCCCTTCACAATGTGTGAAGTTGTTACATGCAGGGCAATACTGGGACACACTCAGGATACACTTATACTTTATATGCTACCTTCCACTCTGTAACACAGCAATACATGCTCACTAAACTATCATGTGTGCCTGGAGGCATCCCTGTCACAGATACTGGGCACACACATGCACACCCAGCCACATAGGAGACTAACACCTGATAAACACACATGCATCTTTACTCTTTGCATCATGAAAAAAAACTGTTGCCTATTTTCCTTCCACATCCTGGGGTTTCAGGGTTGGATGAGAAAGGAGGTAGTTAGAAAACCAGTTGTTAATGTTTCCCCTCCGGAGCCCACCTCTGGGATTGGAAGAAGGAATGGCAGTGCAGGGAAAGATGGTGTAGAGATTACCCTCCTGCCCCCAGTCACTATATTATCTAAATACCTGCTGGGGAAATGGCCACTCTCAGCCAAATTCCTCCCAAATATTCACTGGTACCCCAGCATTTCCAGGGTACCCTGAAATTGGAGGATCCTCCCCCCTCTCCCCCATACACACTTGAGTTAGAGACTGCCCAAACTCTGCTCTGATACCCAGAACTCCAGCCCTGGAGCAGCAGGGAGGTCAGAGGAGGGCTGTGCCAGTGCTGCAAGTCTCCCTACGGTCCAGGACAGTAGGGGGTACCACCCAGTTCTCCTCCACTACCAGAGCCTGCCCCAGCCTTGCCTTCTCTGAGACTACTCTGCGGGTACCGAGCATTTGGGTCACTAGGGACTGTCATAAATACTTTCCCTTCCCCTGCTGGAAACAGGAGGCTCTGGCAGGCTGGATCCGCTCTGGGGCCTGCGCCTTATCTTTTGGTGGGTGGGAGGATATCTCAACATTTTATGGTCCAGGGAAAAACCTGCCAAAGAGCTATTCTTCCAAGGCCTTTGTGTCTTGGAATGCGACTGTCCCGAGTGTGCCGCCACCACCGCCTGCTCAGAGAGCCCACCAGCCATGAAACCCCCTGGCTGGACTTGGTTTACCCTTTTGGGGTGGGGGTGTTCACTCGCCTTTTATTTTTTTCATTTGATTATTTTTTTCCTTTTACATGTATCTGGTTGATTTCGCTCCCGGCGCCTGGAAATAAAGGGACCGCAAGCAGCCAACCTCGCCGGGGCATCTCTGCCCCTTGCCCCGATTCCTGTATCGCCCTCCTAGGTACCACGGATTTATGTTCGTTTGTCCGGGTCATTCCGCCTTTTTGTGTTAATTACGCTCTGCCTGCTTGGTGCTTATCTCCACCGCAAAGTGATTATTTTCGATGCCCGCCCTCCTGAGCCTCCAGAGCTGCTGCCAGAGCTAGGGCCCATCTCCCGCCGCCATTCGCGATTTATTTACACCTCACAGGTGAGAGGATTGATTTGCTCAGAGCCAGTGGGGTCGGGCTGGGCCGGGGCTCGGGGCCTTCTCGCGGCTGCTCCTTCGGGACGGGCCTCAAATGTCAGTGCCGCCAGACGGGCCGGGGGGCATCCCCACCGCCTCTAACATTGAGCAATAGCGCCACCTCGCGTCTACTTGCTCCAATGCAGTCCGGCCGGGAAAAAGCCAACAGAGCAAGCAAAACGCAGGCTTGGCCCGAAGGTGAGAAGTGGCAGGAAGGAGTTTCCAAAGAGGTACGAGAGAGAGAGGTCGCCGTTAAAGAGCTCCCTCTGGACCGCTGTTCTTTTGGTTTTCTAAGTTCTCGAAATAAACCTTGTCAAAGGTTTCACACCATTTTCTTTTTTTGTCACCCTCCCTTCCCGCATTAAGATGCACGGTGCAAAGGAACTGACGCGACCTACCCCCATTCAGGCGCATTTCTGGGCTCGGAACACCTCCGCGCACTCAGATTCACCCTACGAAGCTCCCGCGACCGCCCGGCTGCGGTGCGCGCCCTAAGCTCCTCGCTCCTCTTACACTGCCGCTGGTTCCAACCGCCTATTCCTCCGCCGCCCGCAGGACTTTGGGGTGGGACTCAGTGCTGCCAGCCGTTTGCCCCCTGGTTGGTAGCCCATCCCTCTCACGCGCGCTCTACCTCTCCCTCCCAGCCGGTGAGATCCTGTTCTCCGTGGGCCATAGACAAAACATTCCTATAATCCGATTTCAAAGGAAAGAGTGTCCACCTTATTTAAACCATAAAACAATTAAGCCCAGACGTCTAGCCAGCTCCGCGCTGCTGTTTTGTTCGGCCCCATTCAGAATCCAGCACAGGGAGACAAACAGCGCCATAAAAGTGGCATTTCGGGGTTGCGGAAATGTACCTATCCGCTGCCTTCCCAAGTGGAACAACCTTTAAGGTTTTGTGATTCTGACAAAGGAGCAGAGGATAGGTGGGAGGGGAAGATTGGGGCAGGAGGGCGTTTGCTAACCCCTAACCTCCCCACGCCAGCTTTCGTTTCTCTCCCAGATGTGTGTTGTGCTGATGTGGTTTTAATTCACAAATTGTAATAAATAAAAATTGAATCCAATCTGACCTGCAGGCTGGAGGTTGAGCTGGTACTGAACAGTGTTCTGGGCCGGGTGGGCCTGCTCTGGATCCCACGCTCTCGCCAGGGCCTTCGGAGCCCTGCGGCGCTCCTTCCTGCCCGGAGCAAGTCGGCTCCCGCGGGCTGCAGGAAGCAGGCCGCGCTGACGGGCTGAGGGGAGGCGACAGGGGCCTTGGAGCAGGGGCGGGGTGGAAGCCGGGAAACACTCCGAGCCTGGGCTGGGAGAGGAGCCCGAGTCCTCACAGTCAGGACCGAGGGAAACGGGTGTCTTGGCCTCCGCCGAGTTCACAACTAAGGCCAGGGTCCCAGAACAGCAAAATAATCAAAGGGAGGGGTGAGGAAGCCAGAAAAAAAAAAGAGAAAACTACAGGCAAAGCACCTTTCAAAAGGACCACGAAAACAATTGCTTCTAGAATTGGGGAGGAGGTATCTTAAGCGGGAAATAGGAGATGGTACTTCAGCCACCGGGAAAAGCATAGTTTGCGACTTTTGATTTTTCCCCTCAAATATTATGGAAAGAAAATGTTCATGCCTTCCTACCTTCCTCCAGCCCCTGCAACCGGAAGTTTAATGGAAGGAGGCAGTAGAAAATTCAAATGATGGGGAAGGGGCTGGTCACTGCAAGTGCCTCACCAATCCTATAGGGTGATGCCATGCAGGAAGCTGCACAGGGACTGGGGTTCCCACTTATTTTCTTTTTTAGTGGTGTCCCCCAAGTACTCAGAGCAACACCCTGCACCCTCGCCAGAATGGGCAGCCTGAGATATTAAAGGGCTATATTTCAAGCAGTCTGAGTTTAATAGTTTCCAGATTGGGGGATTTCCGAGAAAGGGGGCGCTGGGCCGAGGCATACCCAGCTGCTTGTGTCTGCTTCTGATTAGCAGATGAAAACTGGTTCTGAGGAAGGTGCTCTGGGGTGCAGCCCAGCTGACCAGCCCACAGGTTTGTTACACAGAGGTCCCCACACCCTAGAGCCTGGGGTTCCACAGCCACCAGGGAATACTCCACTTCTGGCTAATCTCTGGCCAGCTTCTTTGAGCCCTGACCTCATCATCCCCCAGAAATTCTGCAGCCCTCAGAATAACCCATCACTCACAAAACAACAGTCAAGCTAATGTCAGTGAGAGAGGCAGAGATGGAGAGATTGAGAAGAACAACTAGACAGAGAGAGTGAGAAACTGATAATGCACTGAGAAGTAGAAATCTAATTCTTATTGTATTGGCCCTGCCATCTTTCTCCTTCCTCCCTTCCTGCCATCTGTCTTCCCTCTCTCCCTCCCTCCCTTCCTTCCTTCTTTCCTTCCTTCCTTCCCTGCCTACCTCTTCCCTCTCACTCTGCATCTTCCTTTTGCTCTCAACACAGTCTTCAATGTCTGTTCTGCTCCCTGAGGCCTGCTTGGCCTTCCTCCTCACGCTCACCGCACACCCACCCTCCCTCCCTCCTAGTCATCCCTTGAAGCACCAATGTAGGAAGGTGAGAATCCAGCCCGGGCCCTCACCCAGCACCCAACTTTCATCTTCGCCTATCTCTCCTCTCCGATCTCATGTACTCATAAATTATTACAATTAATTACACCAGGGAAAACCATTCATGCTGTGCCCCCCACCCCACCCCTGGACTCCACCGAGCAACCAGGAAACTGCAAGCAGCCAGCTGGAGCAGGCACAAGCTGGGCCCAGGCCTCAGCAGTCTCCATCCCACCGCTGGAACTCTCACCCCCACCCCATCCTGCCTAGAGAAAAGTGGCAGGCACTTGCTCTTCCAAGGTTAAAGCCCCTTCCCTGGCTCTGGCCTCCCCCAAAGGACCTGAGCACTTGTCTCCTCCAGGACAGCAGCCAGGGAGCTATTGGGCGAGGGGCGGGGGGACGTAGAAATAATGAGAACTGGATGCGGTTGGGTTCTGTTTTTTTAAGTGACTTCCATATATTAACACAGAGCTGTTCTACCATAACAAACAGAAGCACATTACAGGAGGACGCTTCAGATGAGAGGAAACACTGCTATGTACATACCCGAGGCGCTGGCCTGTGCCGATGGACCCAGCCTGCGGCATGGTCCCCGGCCCTCGCCCCTCAGCTCCTGGGCTAAGAATTGTTACTGTGTATGTATGTGTACCTTTTCTGTACAAAATCTGCACGCAGAGCACCCTAGGCCATGGGAGGAACGGCCCGGACCAAATACAATACAGGGGAAAAAACAGAAATATAACGATTCAAGTAGTGGCTTCTCTGAAGAAAGGAGAAAAAAAATCACATTTGTGTGTGTCATTTATTTCAGTTGCGCTGGGAGAAAACGCGGTTTCTCTCCCCGCCTCATCCTCCTTGCTGGGTAGAACTAACTCTAAAACACCAATTTCTCAACACTGAACCCTCCCAAACCGCAAGAGTTTTCCTTTTCCCCTTCCTTTTTTTTCTTTTTGAGCTGATTGGCTTTTCTCTATCTTGCTCTTTCCTTTTCTTTTTCGTGCTCTCTCCCGCCTGGGTTGGGGTATTTTTGTGGGGTTTTTTGTTTTTCCCTTGGCTGTGCCGAGGCAGCAGGCCAGGGCAGGGTTTAGGATTGCTCCTTGTCGGTTTTCTCTTTATTCATCTTTTTCATCTTCATCCTCCGGTTCTGAAACCAGATTTTGACCTGACGCTCAGTGAGGTTGAGAACCCGGGCCACCTCGTACCGACGGTCCCTGGTTAAATACATATTGAAGAGAAACTCCTTCTCCAGTTCCAGCGTCTGGTACTTAGTGTAGGGGCAGCGCTTCTTCCTCGTAGAGCGGGCGTGAATCCAGTTGGCCACGGGGTTGCCTGGAGGGCCAAACACAGGCAGGGGTCAGTGGAGCCCCTTTCCAGTTCAGGACCCCTGTCACCCCACCCCCAGGCTTAGTTAGGCTCCCCAAACCCAAAAATTGAACCTGAATTTGGACACATTTTGCTTAAGGAATTTTCCCCCTTACTCCTTTTGCGTTCTGCCCCTCCCCATCTCCACCTCCCCCTTTAGTTTCTAGCACCTAATACTATAGGAAATCGAAGCTATCAAAGCTCCTACAGTCTGGTCCTCAGCTTCAAGAGTAGTAATTTGAGAATATCCTCATAAAAAGTCCAAATTCCCAACCATTTCATAGGCCCATAAACGCTTCTCTCTCTTGTTTTTTATTTTTATAGTGAGGTCTCTCTCCTCCCTAATTCCCTCCTCCTTTGCCCCCTCCCACCCTCCCAGCCCACGACCAAGTCCTGAAATTTCAACAGTTCTGCTTCCTGACCCTGAGAGTCCCTAAGCCCCTCACTATCTTCTCCAGCGCCCATCTCTCTGCTCTCAGAGTTCAACCCTGCTGAGGCGAATTCTCAGGGTGATGCTAGGATGGGAAAAACCTTTCTCTTCTCCCCAGAGACCGGCTGGCCTTGGGACAAGCTCCCCTATCTCTTAGCTTCCCTATTTGGCTTCCAGTGCCCGGCTCCTGCCAGCCCCAGGACAGGCTCTGCAGGAGCCAAGCCTCCAATTTCAGGTTTATGGGAGTTGCTGAGGGCAAGGAGGGAAGCCTTTAGAGGGGTGTAATTAGGCCCTGGCCCCTTACAGGGCTGGAGGAAAGGATTTCCTGCAGCCCCCTCCTGGGACTCCCCCAGTCACTTCCTCACACCCAGGGGATGCACCCCCTCCCCTGCTGTTTCTCCTTCTCTCCTCTTTCTCTGGTCCTGCGGCTCCCACCTGCTCCCTACCCACCTCCACCTACCCCTGCCCTTCTTTCCAATACTTAGAAGACTCCTGTCTCCCTGATTGGAGTGTGTGTGTGTGTGTGTGTGTGTGTGTGTGTGTGTGTGTGTGTGTGAAATTCTCTAATCTGGGGAGATGCCTGCCCCCACTCCTCATCCCTAACCTCCATTCTCAACCCTCTTGTGCAGATCCTCAGAAAAGGGCTCTCAAGTTTAAGGAAACTGGGAACCCACTTCTCTCCCCAACTCTCGAAGTCCTGAGTTCCCAGGCTGTGAAATCTCGCAGACCCTTCACCCAGTACTCATAGGGGAGAAGTCCATGGACCTTATGAATCTGTAGTAGTAGTGTGAGGACCCCCATGCTGGCTGGGAGGTAGGAGTGATATTTCTCCCTGGGGTATTTCCTTTTTGCCCCCAGTATCTTCCTCCTCTCTCCCCCATCCCATCTCAAATCATAAAATAAACCTCGCCCCCACCGCATCCCCTGGCTCTCTCTGCATTTCTTCGAAAGTAGCGACTGAGCCAAAAAGCCTGGCTCGGGGTGGGGGGCAGGGGTCTCTCATCAAAGCTAGCTTCTGGGAGAGGAGCCCCTCAGCTCTCTCCCAGCCTGGCTCCCTGGGCCCCCTTCTTAGACCTTCCTGCCCCTGAAAGCTCCCCAAGGTAATTCTCTTTTATTGAGTCCTCTCCCCCTCGCCCTCGCCCCTCTCCCGCTCTCCCTGAGCCGCTCCGAGGGGCTGTAATCTGGCTCCCCCCCGCCCGTCCTTCCCTCCCCTCCGGCGCTGGTTGTAAAGGAAAATTGCTTCCAACTTACTGGGGTCCAGGTCGGCCTTCTCTTCTTTGTGCTTGCTGCCGGCGAGCGCGTCCGCCTCGGGCGAGGGCAGTGTTTGCGGGGCGCGGTCGCGCAGCTCCCCGGGCGAGCCGTACATGTAGTCCGGGTAGCTGCGGCCGTCGCCCGGGCCGCAGTCGGCGCGGCGCCCGGGGTAGGCGTCCGGCTTGAGGGCGTAGTGACGGCCCCCGGCCGGGAAGCTGGGGAAGGAGACGGCGCCGGACAGCGGCTCGAGCCAAGTCCGCATGTAGCGCGTGTCGGCGCCGAGGTGGGGCTGGGGGCCGTACGGGTGGTATACCACGGACGACTGCGAGGGCACGGGCGCCCACGACGTGCTGAACACTGCCGGCTTGGGCGCGAAGCTACAGGACGGAAAATCGCTACAGTCCGGCACCAAACCGCTGGGTCTGGCGGCGGCGGGGTGAGCCCCCGTGGCCGGAAACCTGGACGCTAGGAGGTCTTCATTGTCGTGAGAGATGAGCGAGTCCACGTAATAGTTACTGATGGGCCCCGTCGCCGACATCGTAACAGGGTTTTACATACATAAGATTATTGTATGAACTGTATATGTACTTTTTATCTGCTCACAGAACAATCAAGGCAGGTAATTATTTTTCCAGCCTTTTCCCCGCAGCTCATTGGTTCCCCAGCCCCCACGTGATCGTATTTACCCAAAAATACGGCGCGGATCAATGCGCAGGGGCTTTTTTTTCCTTGCTTTTTTTTCCCATCTCCCACCCCCTTCTCTCTGCTGATCCCCGCGACCTGCGTTTTCCTGGGGGTCCGGAACTCTGGGCTCAAGACACCGGCCACCCCTTCAGGACAACTCGTATCTCATCAGAGATCCCCCTTGCCCTGTCCACCCACAAGCAGATGGCCTCCCGCCCCCACCCCCTCCCACAAGGATTTCTTAATGGGGTGAAAATGCCAGTCCCCGGAGCCAGGCTTCCCGGACCCCCGGGGCCGAGCTGGGCGCGGGAGCCCAGCAGGGGCGGAGAGGCCGGCTGAGGTAGGTGGAGGAACTATTTCTTGACGTAATCCGTCTCTGTCTGCCCCGACGCTCCCGCAGTCTCTGCGCGAGCCGAGATCAGTGATTGTCAGTTCGGAACGTGGCTTTTAAAAATGCGTTTTTAAATAGTGTGTATGTATGTATTTCTTTCAGGAGCAGCAGCAGCAGCGAGGGAGGGAGGGTGGGAGGGGACTGGAAAAGCTGGGGTGGAGGGAGGGAAGGAGGGAAAGGAGAGCGTCCTTCTGCCACTGGCCAACTCAGCCCCCCAAATCTGGGGTAGGGAAGATTGGGGAAGGTGGTCCTCCGGGGGGAGGGGTAGGACCTCGGGACCTCATACACCTTTATCATCAGGAGTCTTCTCTTTGCTTTGGCATAGATATGCAAGCGCCTTTATTTTAATTTATTGTCTGTATCTATTTATCTTTGCCAGCCTGAAGAAGTGGAGGACGGATCTACACAAGTTAAGTGGGACTTCCCCATCCCATCTTCCTCCTTACCCTCCTTTGCCCCCAACTCCATCTCTGAGACACCCTGCCCCCACCCCCCAAAAAAGAAGTCACTCCGGGGTTGTGTCTGCAGAGAGCCAGGGTGAGAGCGGGCAAGGCGAGAGAGCGACCTCAGTCGTGGGCAAGTAGCTTGTTTTTACGTCCTTCAATAAAATTTTTATGAGGATCATTTGATTGTTCATAAATGTGTCTTTCATTAAATAAAATTGTAGGCTGTTTTTGGAACGGGAAAAAAGCAGCAGAGGGATGGGAGAAAGCAATTTCTTTGGGGTCGAATACAGGAATTCTGGAGGGGGCAGTGTGATAGCAGGAAGACCAGTAGACTTGGGTCTCTCCCCCAATAAGTTCGTTGCCACTCCCCTCCTTGAATTTGGGGGTCGTTGCCCAAGCCCTCTGCTTTCCATCATTCTGTCCCATGGTGGCTTAGCAAAGGTGGGCTTCAGACAAGCAGGAAATTCTCAGTGTGGGTGCAAGAGAGGGGGCAGGGAGATTGGCTGTGGGGGTGGGGAAGGGCAGGTGGTGTCCCCAGAGTCACCATGAACCTTAGGCATGGCAGAGTGAGTCTGAAGGGGGTGTGTAATCTTAGGGTCAGAAGGGAAGAGCCCCAGTCTGTAGGGAAATAGGCAGAAGCTGAAGCTGAGACGCTGAGGTTCTGAGGCAGCAAGGAAGACAGAGGCTTCCAGATCCAAGATGCCTGCCCTTCTTTCCCACTCCTGTTCCCAGGAGGGGACCAAATGCCAGGAGTGGGGGCAGAGATGGTTTTCTCCTGCATCTCTGTTGACTATCTCCTCTGGGGTGGAGAAGGGCTAGACAGAAATGTCCCAGAGACTGTAGTATATGTGTTTTGGGGGGGGAGTTGAGGGGGGAAGGGTTGATCTGTAGCCTGCAGCACTGACCCCAGCTTGCCAGGCCGCCTCCCCAGTCCCTGCTCCTCCCCCTCTCTGGTTCTTTCCTTTTCGGTAAAGCGGGGCAGGGGGGCAGGCATGGATGTAAGAAATGCCTGTCTGGGGAGAGGCAACCCGGGGCCTCAGCTTCCTCACCCTCGGCTCTGACTGTCTTCCCCTCCCCGGGACTGGACTAGGGTGGGAAATCCAAATTACAATAAGAAACAATATCTCTTTGGCCTTGATGGAGTCGGGTTAGCTGTCAATCAAAAAATCTCTCTCACTAGTTCAAGGAAAAGACAGGCGGTTCCTATACCAATGCAGAGGCTTTCCCCAAATCCGCAGCGCCCTCAGCACCTCCTCCAGCCCAGGCGACTCGGGACCCTGCCCGGCTCTTGGGCGGCTGCTGGCTGATACATGTAGCCTTCAGCGGGCCCGGGGCCAGACTGAGACCAAGAGGATGTCAGGGGACAGAGTCTGAGAGAGACAGCCTGAGACAGAACAACTGAAACACGGCGCCAGGCCCATAGAGAGGAAGGAAGGAGGGAAGGAGAGAAGAACACAGAGGACTGGGATTTAAAAACAACAACAAGAGAGGGGAGAATTAAGGTAAAGAGGGGAGACAAGATGAAAAGCAGATAGGATAGCAGGGAAAGGAAGGCGTGCAGAGAGTGAGTCGGAGGAAGGGCGGAGATAGGAAGGCAGGACGGGCCAGGGGCGAGCTCGCGGAGCAGCCGTGGCATTGTGCAGTCCCTGGCTTGCCGGGCCTTTGCCGCGGGACTGGCTCCGGGGAGCGGCAGCCACTTCTGTCCGGACACAAAGGAGGAAGAGGCCTCCTCTCTTGCCCCTCCTGGACGACCCGCTGGGGTGGTACACTAGGCCTCCCGGTGGTAGAGAACCCCATTTCAGCAGAGGGGGCTGGGGGCTGATCCCTGCCCTAGTCAAGGAGCAAAGAATACTCGAGGAACGAGGATTCACACCCACCCCTCCTTTGCGTCTTTGCCAGGCGACAGGGCCTAGTTGCCCCAACCTCTCAGTTTTTCTAGAAGAGAGGTTCCCCTAAAGACCATATCCTATGAGCCTCTACTATTTGGGAGAGCCACTCTGGCCACCTCCTTCTTTTTAACCCGAGTTGCTTGCCTACCCTGCCTGCCCACCCAGCAGAGGCAACAACAGCCTGTCTCAAGGATCACCCGGCCCATGCTCCCTGCTGCCATCAAATTCCCCCTGAAACTGAGGGGAGGTTGTCGCCTTCGTTTTAGAGCGTGAACTCAGACCTTTCCCACTCAGGCACAGAAACAGCTGTGGCTCAGGAAGAAGGCCTCACACACAGCCCTATCCCCATAGAAGCCCCATTTTGCCTGGGCCTGGCTGAGAGAGGCAGCCTTGATGAGGGGACTGAAAGAGGCTGGGAGCCTCTGAGTGCACGAGGCCAAAGCCCCTTGGGTTCCACAGTTGTGTGTAGGTTATACCCCCATTCTCTGCATTTAGAAGTGAAGCGGCAGTTCAGGGCTCTGAAGCCAACCTTCAGGCTGCCCCCAATCCAGGCCTGTAGGTGTGGGGGCACCAAGGAGGAGGGGCTTGTCATTCCAGGTTCAGTTACTCCTGCTGAATCTCCTGCCAGATTCCCAGACTCCCTCTCACCCCCACCACTCCCTTCAATTTTTTTCAGCACGGATGGGGCAAACCCAGGGCGGGGGGACTAGAGGCCACTAGGAATCCCTGTAGAGGAGGAAACCCCAGCTTTAGCTAGCAGCACGGCATTCACTGTGGATTTTAGAGGTCCCCTCCAACCCCCAAAGATCTCACTGGACAGAGGCGAGTCCCCTTAAGGGGAGGAGCACCCTCACTCCATCACCTCAGACCTGGACAGCTGCGACCACAACCAACCTAGCACTACCGTGGGAAGGATAGACAGACAGACGGGTTAGAGACATCCCCTCCCCTTGCCCCCGTGCCTCCCTTTCAGTGATTTAAATTCCCACTGGTTCAATCCACACCGTCAAGTTCGGATTAAATTTAAAACAGGCTTTTTTGTGCCAGCCACCACAGGCAGGGAGCCCGCTCCCTGGCTCTTCAGCACCCGCCCGTGCGGAGGAGGCCGTACTCCATTTGCTTTCATTTTCCTTCTCCCCCTGAAATGGGCTCATTTCACCTCTCCGCTGCCCTCTCCCCCTCCCCCCTCCCCGGTGCCCCTCTACTTTCCCCCTTTCTCTCTCCTGATTCCTCTTTGTTGGGAAAAACACACCCACACACAACTCCTCCTAGCTCAGGCCTGTGCTGGAAGCAGAAACCGAATTCTCCTGGCTTGCCGAGAGGAGACCGGCGTCCTGCACCCGCCCCAGGTGGGTATCCGGGATCCCTACACACCAGGAGTCAGGCCTCTAGCCCAGCAGGAGTGAAACCCCTAGGGCCTGTGAACGTGGCCCTCTCAACGCCACGGCCTGCACTCCCTCCGGCCCCCGCCCTGTCTCCCGCAGCAAACGGGGCTATTTCCCAGCCTGGGGAGTTGGCTGAAGGGGGAGCGGCCCCAGAGCTAAGGGTGCTCTTTCCCTGGAGCCCCCATGGCCCTAGGCGCCCTGTTACCTGATCTGTGTATGATGTGTATGTCGCAAGGAAATTTGCAGTGACTTTGGAGCCCAGACTGAGGAAGCCGAGGTGGCGAAAGGAGAGACAATACGGGTCCGAAGTACAATTAAGGGGCCAGAGCCGCTGGTCTCTCCCCCGCCCTCCCTGCCAGACTAGGAGCTGTCTGGCCTCAAACCTCAGGGCAACCCGCGAACCTGGAGTCGGAAACTCAGCCCATGGCGGAGGGAACCCGAGGCTCCGGCATCCAGTAAGCTGGAGGAAAGCTCCCTTCCAACTTAGGGGCACAGCAACCAACCCCGCTGAGTTGCAGAGAATCCAATGAATGAAAGTGCACATTCCGGCGAATTTTGCTGACTTTTTCAGTCTTTGAAAAGAGAGTAAGGTTTGGAACGTCTCAGACAGACAGACAGACAAACTGCATCCCCGGAGGCAGACAGACTCACAACATGAGTGTGAGCCTGAAATCAAATACAGGTTCAACATTCCCAAGGCCTCTCTGTCAGGCCAGATGGGCGCCGATCTCCCTACCTTCTCTCCCTTCCAGGGCGTTGGGCAGAGACCCCGAAGACTCGGTCCTCTGGCTTGGTCCAATCCCGTCTCGGGAAGCGCCTTCATTACCTGCTTCTCGGCTCCCCACGGCCACAGATGCAGGACAGCCGCCTCCCACCGGGGGAGGGAAGCCCAGGCCGCCGCAGCCGCCGCTGCCCGCCCTCCTTCCCTCCCTCCCTCTGTCTCGTCCTCCCTCCCTCTCTCCCTCCCTCGCGCGCCACTGCTCCCGGGCCCTCCCGCGGGCAACCTGTTCTGGACCAAATCCAGGTATCTCCAAAAGAGACACACAGAAAGAAAAGGACCTCTTATGTGTAGAAGAAAGAAATACCCCTAACTGCATTTATTTTTCATGCTCTGACAGTTGGCGGCCTCTGGTCACACGTCCTGGACACGGCTCTGCAGCTGCAGAGGTGTGCGGGGCCTGCTGCCTCGCCCACGCAGACCGCCGCGCTCTGCGCTCTGCGTGCTCCACACTCTGGGCCGCCGCCCTCCGGCCGCCCAAATACCAAACAGACCTCAAGGTCCTTCCTACAGGCTCAGCATCCGGTTGCCTACCTCGCCGCTGGCCTCCGCCCGAGAGCCCACTCCGCTCCCGTCTGCGGCCAAAGTCCACACGCAATTCACCTTGTCCGTGCTCCCGCTCCCGGCTCGGATACCCCTCCTTGTCAAGGCGCCCGCCAAACCGCACTCGGGCTGCGGCCCTGCCCCGGACTGCAAACCTCCCCTGCACGGACCCACACAAAGCCCAGTGACCTGACTCTCCCACCCTCAGCCCCTAGTCCCCAGCCGCCACCACCCTTCACCTGTTCCTGAGAAAGGCTCCATCTCCAAGCCCAGGCAAGGCTGTGGGCCCCGGCGGAGGGTGCAAGGGAGCTGAGGTCCCAGGCAAACCACAGAAGATCCACCGATCCAAGCCAGAGCCCCCGCAGCCAGTGAGATATCTCAGACACGAAGCCTCTCCTTGGCGAGCTCTTTCCTTCTCCTCCTTCTCCCGCAAGTCTTAAACACTCTCACACCGAGAGTTCAGCTCTATAAATCCTGCTCCTCTTTCCCATATCATAATTAAAAAAAACCAGTAGGGGAGGTTTTAACTTTTATTGCGATTTCTGGAGTTGGGCTGCAGAGCATATATTAAGTTTACGCTTATGCGCTCTCGGCGGGGAGGGTCCTTTAAGAAATAAAAATCCATCTTAATATCCGCAGACGAGAGAGATAATTTTTTCCCTCCTCTTCATGCTGTTTCTTCTGAAGACTCCCTTCCAGCGAAGCGAATAAATAACCACCATCTCCTTAACCATGATCCACGGCCGCAGGGCCCGGGGGGTAGACTCTGGCCATCAGACTGGCCCTCACCTTGGCCCTATGAGAACTCACCCCATTCCCCAGGGTTTGGGGAGGCAGACACCCAGACCCATGGCTCTGTAGCCATCGCCCCATAAGCCCACCAGCTCTGAAACGGAAACGGGGGCAGAGAGGCCCAAGGCACAGAAGTCGTTCATTGGTGAATTTCGGCCCATAAGGGACACTGTCTCCAAGTCAGGCACTCCTAAGCACCCGCCCCTGCCTGGGACTCCCTTCACTCTAACTGGTCCCACGCTTCTGACAGCCTGAGACTGCTAGGGGCTCCCAAACCAGGGGAGACCCTGCCTGCCTCTCACCAGCCGGCCTTCCTCTCTGAAAACCTCCCTATTTCCCTGGAAGCCATAGAGAGATTTGAGCACTTTCCTCCAAGGGAAGAGAGGAAAGAGATTTTTTTTCTTCTGCAAAGGGCTGGGGGACAGACAGAAAAACAGACTGACAAATTCAGCTGGGGAGAAGGGCTCTATTCCCATTTTGTCCTTTAGCCTCCCTAGGGTAAAAAGAAATCTCTTTGTATAAGAGAGATAAAAACAGATGAGAATGCATATAAATATATGCAGGGGATTTGAGAGAGTCTGAGATGCAGAGATACAGAAACAGAGACCCCAAACTCACACAAGGCTGGATATATCTCCCCAGCAGACAGTTGTAAGGATATAGAATTTCATGTGTATATTTTGTTACAGGGACATGATTTTGCTCCCCTGTCTAGAAGTTTATAATGTTTTAATAATCATAATAATTCTAAAGCAAGAGAACCCAGAACCTCTCCTTCTCCCTTTGGCTTTCTCTTTCCCCAGGCTCTCTGAGAACAAGGGTGCATCTCCCCATTCTCCCTGACCCTCCATTTTTCTCTGCAGGCAAAGAAACCTCCTTTGAGAGCCTTCTCTCTAGCAACTAGGGCCAGAACTGAGGAAGGGGGGTTGGGAGGGAGGAGGGGAAAGAAGCTTTGAAAGTTTCACATTGCTCAGATTCCCCCCTTACCCCATTATCCTCCCCTTCTACCCCCTCTGGCATCAGCCAACAACCTTCCCAACAATATGGTAATGGTGGGCACTGGCAGCCTCCCTTCACCCAGACATTTCCACACAGCTCAAACAGAAGCAGCTGCCTGACAGCCACAGACACAACAGACCAAGGCCTGTGAGCCACAGACAGCTAGACAGAGAGCAGAGGCAGGTTCCTGCTCTGATGTTTCCCAGGAGAATGTGTGTATGTGTGTGTGTGTGGGTTCTACTTGGACTTGATGGCTTTCCTCTAACCTACTAACACCCTAAATATGTCTTTCTTCTGGGGATGGAGCTTTAGAAGGGGAAGGGGGTAGCTGAACTGGTGCTTAGAGTTCCTTAACTCTTGGGACCCTGAAGCACCCCACTTTTCTAAGGGAAAGCTCCAGCCCAAGCCAACTGGAGGAAGGTTTTTTTCCTTGAAGACGGCAGGTGAGAGAATCTAACCACTCCAAAGACTGCCTTCTCTTTCCGTGCTCTTCTCTCTCCTAATGATCCTGTCCCACCCTGCTGCCCAACTGAGCTGGCCCACCAGGCCACCTCATACTCAAATTCCTGAATTTCCTTGGAACTGGCTAGACCTTCTTTGTTTGTCTCCATCAGCTGGGCCCAGGGAACAATAGCTGCAGGAAAAACTCCTCTCCCTCAGTCACAGGGATTGGGACAGGCTAGGAAGGGGACAGTATAAAGCCGGGTTCTCTAGACTCGTCCTACAGCCCCAGGCACAGCTTGCCTTCCTCAGTCTGTACCCACTTGGTCCTATCTTGGAGGGGGCTGTGGGGCAGTTCAGCTGGGGAGGGAAGGAGCAGCAGAGGTGGGTTGGGGCCCTCGACGAAAACCGACTGATGTAACTCAGGCAGTTTCTTGTTGCCGAGTTCAAAACTCAATCCCAACAACATGAAACTACCTAAGCCACAGATCAGCTGAGCCAGCAGGGCGGGAGATTCAGCTTTGCTTCTATCAGGAGGAGAAGGGAAGGGGGGTTGGGGAAGGAAGAAATTCAGCCCCGTCCCCCTTTCCGCCCCCACAACCTCCCTAAGGACTAGAGAGTAGATGTTGGGTGGCTGGGTGGGTAGGGGGTTGGCCTGCCTCATCAGCTTGTGGTCTAAGCAAATTGCTCAGGGAAACTCTGGTGAAATGGGACCTCGAGCCGCCAACCCCCCCCGCCACGCCCCCAGCACCGCAGTGGAGCCTTCCCCTGCCTCTGGCCCTGGCCCTGGGCAAAGCTGGAGTCTTTCCACTCCTGAGCTGGGTCCCCAGTCTTGTCCATCTGGCTCTCCTGAACTCTCCTCCTAGATTCCCTCTGATCCTCTCGCTCTCTCAGCTCAACTCCGCTTTCCCGCATCTATGGGTGACTGAACGACAGCGCCTGTGCTCCAAAGCCTCTCCAATCAGGCCAACTCGCCTGGCAAAGCCCCACGGCCAGGGAGCGTGTGGAGACCAAGAGCCTAAATAAGTCTCACATCCAAACCAGTAGAAAGCAGGGAAACCTCAGCTCCAAGCTTCAACTCTCTCTAGCCCAGCCTCCCTCTGCTCCCCCAGCAGAGGACCAGACTGAGCAACATCTAGACCCATGTGTCGACCCCGAGGCAACCCTCAGTGCCCCCGTAGAGAAAGAAACCAAAAAGCACCAATTTACCCCTTTAACCGCCAAACCCCACAGCGACGGGCTGGGGAGGGGAGGAGAGGGGGCTCACGGCCACTGCCCTCCGCTGCGAGCGACCACAAGGCAAGCCTGGGCTCTCAGCAAGAACCGTTGCCCGAAACACCTTCCTCCACGATCTGCCCGCTGCGCGCTGGGCACCTGGGGACACCGCTAGTCCCCACTCCACCGCCAAGAGAAGAACAAGAAACCGCTTCTCTTACCTTGTCGCCGCCTCCTCCTGCCGCTGCCCGCGCTTCTACTGCTGCTATTGGGGGGGGGTGGCTGAGCTCCTCGTCCCCCTCCAGCGGTTAAGTTTATTCCTCTCCTTGGATAGGTGGGGAGCTCTTGGGGTTCCCCCCAGCAGCGGTGGGGTGCGCCTGGCCCAGTACCCCAGGCAAGCAGATCCGTCTGCTCGTCAAGATTGCAGTTTGCTCTCTGCCTCTTTCCCTCCTCCAGTCACCTTTAAATGCATCTTTTACTGCAGCACCACATTATATTTGCAGATCATAAAATCCACCTCTCGCGCGCACCAAGACCGTCCTGACATTACTGTTTTATGACCTTGACTTATTGTGGTCACCTGGATAATATTTAAATCAACGTTATGGTCTCTCACTTACATTAAACCCGCCAAGAGACATTCTAGAAAGGCTCTAGGAGATGAGTCAAACACAAAACACACACATCCACACACATTCAGCCTCTTTGGGGATGGGGGTGTTGCTAAAAAACACTAAAAACAAAAAACCACCCATTTGAGGATTACGTTTCTGGAAATTTATTAGGGTTTTCTTCTTCATTAAGGAAGCTACATGCAAAAGATACAACATACAGAATATCTTTAAATAACACAACTCCCAGACAGGGACAGGGTGATATTTGGTGTGTGTGTGGGGGGGCATTCTGTCTTGCTTCGCTATGTTCTATTTTTAATTTTTAATTTTTTTTGTTCCTCTGGATGGAATTTCTGAGATGTCAGTGGATGGGGGATGTGGGGGTGCTGGGAGGATGGGAAAAAAGCAGAAAGCAGTACAAATACGAGACTTCAAGCAGATTTTCAGAGCAACTGGGAGGTAAAGACACAGAGAGGGTTTGGTGGAGGCGCTGGGCGCTACAACAAACACACAAACACTAGCCGAACTTTCCAAAATGTCTATTATTCTAAGGAGAAAATGCAGCAAGGAAGGAGCAATTCTCACTGTGCTCTGCGGGATTACAGACCTTCTCTGGTTGGTATTTTTCCTCTTTTTTCCCCCCCTGCAATCGGGTGGATTCGACCTTAACTTTGCTTGGAGAGCAGGATACTGTGTGTGAGTGCATGGGTGAGTGAGGGCTTGACACACACACCAGCCACACTCCCACCCTCATCTATGTGGGCACACCACACCCCACACCCCGGCACTCCATTCTCTGTAGATGGATGCATCTTTGCAGCACGAACCATAGGTCCCTTGGAAGGAGAGTCTGAGGTCTTTGCCTTTTTTGCAGGCGCATTGCATTTATACTCAGAGAGGAAAAAATATATACCATCAGGCACAAAGGGAGGAGGGGCGGGGAAAGGAAGGAGAGGGGAGACAGGGGAGGGGGAGGGGAGACCGCGCGCTCAGGTGAAATTAAAATTGGAGGTCAGTTCCCGGATCCGATTCTCTCGGTTCATTTTCTTGAGTTTCATTCTGCGATTTTGAAACCAGATTTTGACTTGTCTGTCTGTAAGGTTAATGGTCTTGCTAATCTCCAGGCGGCGCTCTCGCGTCAAATACATATTGAACAGAAATTCTTTCTCCAATTCCAGCGTCTGGTGTTTAGTATAGGGGCACCTCTTCTTCCTTCCGCTCTTTGCTGTCAGCCAATTTCCTGTGGTGTTTTCTGCCTTTATCTCCTCTGTTAAAAATAACATTATTTACATAAGTATCCCTGGAAGAGGCAGCCCCTCAGCACAGCTGCAGCCTGTGCCAGCCTGATGTGGAGGCAGCTGAGGGAGCACAGGGAGCTGCTCTGCCCCACAGGCCTGGCTGGTAGGGTCCTTGTGGGCTCAGGGCTCTTGGAATTTCTTTAGGGTCTAGACTTACAGGGGAGAAAGACGGAATGTTTTTGCCTCCAAAGCATTTATTAAATTTAAATTATCCAAATCCACCTTGACATAGTAGATTCTGAATACTCCTGCTCTCCCTCAGCTTGCTGACCCTGGTGGGTGCTCTAAACCTCACCAGGACCTCCCTCCTCTCTGTTCCAGTCTAGTTCTGGAAAAATCCAAACAGAAGGGAAAGCATTTTCCAGGCCCCACACCAGACTGAAGAGTCCACCCTGCTGCCCACAGTGATTCCCAGAGAGCTTTGACCCCTTTCAACTTAGTGGTGGGACATCGCTCCAGTCTCTACGACCAGAGGCCACTGCAGCGTCCTTGCACCAGACCCCCAGCCCTTGCTGCCACCTGAAGTGCCACAGGACAACTCTGTCCCATTCAAACTCCCATTGTCAGCTCTTCCTCTCCTGGCCAGCAACCCCATGTATAAGTAGTTGAGGCAGGGGAACTTGTGCAGGCAGCAAAGGTCAGGAGCAACAGCTCTGGGACATGCTGAGGGGTCCTCAGACAACTTCCCTGGCCATAGAACCTTAAGGTCAAGGGAGAGAACTCTCATAAGGAAATGCAGCCTCCTGGAAATCTCCTGCCTAGTCTATGTAGATAACCCGTGCCTGCCTATACATGTGTGTTCCTGCAGAGATGTTCACTCCTACACATGTGACACACACACAGATATGTACACATGTGTCTACTTATAGAATGAGATACTGTAAGTATAGTGTGCATTCCCCATTATCTCATTGACAGCTTCTCTCCCTGGCACACATTCTTGCTGAAATGGACCAGCTTTTCTCCTCAAGAAACAGAAGAGACCCTGGCCATCTTTTCTAGGGAAAAACCCAGAGTCCAGAGACCCAAGAGAGGCATTCAGCAAAGGACCCTGCTATGACTCTGGCCTCTATCTGCCCCCTTTGCCAAATGAAACTGGCAGGTTCCTGGGTCTTTTCTCACTGGGGAGTGGGGTGGGAACCCTAGGAGCCCCCAGGAGCACCAGAAAAATGATAACTGGAGGCTGTAGTTTGAAACATCCAAATATTCTTAGTTCTGCTCCCTGCTCTGCACCTGCAGCCTCCTGCCAAATTGTTTAAAGGCTCTCCACAGTTCAACTCTGCCCTTTTAATTTTCTTATTAGGGTTGTTGGGTCTGGGGGAAGGGGAGGAATTACAAATGGGAAAGTCTGGTCAAAAGCCCTCCTGCCTCTGGTTTGGTAGAAACACCAAAAGGGGGAGGGGAGGTAAGAAGGCAGAAGCAAAGTGCAGACTGAGAGGGATTAGTTGGGGTGGGAGGGCTTAGGTTGCAGTGGGGAGGCCAGGAGAGAACAGGGAGCCTACTGCAATGGGGGCAGTTCAAGTTAGGAGGTAGACTTGTTAACCTTGACTTTGCTTTTGGTGGGGCTAGAACACAGCTTTTCCTACCCTAAATCTGCACCCCAACCAAGCTTAGAGTCTGGGGTGAGGATATAAAATTAAACTTTCACATGCAGATGAACCACAGTGAAGGCTTTGTGGGTGTGTGTGCCTTTCCCTCAACCTCATGAACACTGCTCATTTTCTGGCAGTCTCTACAGGCTGATTTGCCAAGGCCACCTTTGCAGAATAGACCCAAGAGGGAAAGGCTCTGCCCTTGCCCGCCAAAAGAGCGCGTGTGCGTGTATGAGCGGGCACGCGTGTGCGTAGAGCATGCAAGAGGGGTGTGTGTGAGTGTGACACAGGTCGCTGCCAGGCATGCGTGTGCGCTGCATCCATATACAAAGCACCACAAGATCCAGGCCACCCCAGTTCGCTCAGTTCTCAGTATTTCATCTGCCTCCACACCCAGCAAGCCTCTCTTCTATACAACCTCCAGTAGCCAGTTTCACCTAGAGCACGAGTAACCCTTCCCTCCCAATTGGGCCTTTTCTGATGCTTTTTGCTCCAACTTTTCAGGGCAAGTCAGTTCCCTCAGCCTCCCTCCACTGCTCTTGCTTCCTCCACATTTTTTCTCCAGGTGTCAGAGAAAGGTCCTGGAGGCCCCCGTTCCTGCAGTAGAAATGAATCTTGAATCCTGAGCTTGAACTCTGGCTAAGCTTTCTTTCTCCAACCAAAATCACAAAGAAATCCAACCAAGGCCACATTCCCTTTCAGGAGAAAACCGTTTGCCACGCACACAGAAATTCCCCAACCACTCGTTCGCTTTTGGAAACCAATGAAAAAAAATTTTTTTATTTAACTAGAAAAAAAGAAGATAAAAACATATTAAAGGGGAAGAAAAATAACTTAACATTCCAAATGCCCTGTTCCAGCACCATCCCCAAGCCAGACGTCTGGGGGAAGGAGGGATGAGGCGGGCAGCTCTTCACCTCCACCTCTTCCCGCCCCAGTCCCTCTGCCTAGGGGCCTGGCCGAGCCCAAAACGTAAGGAGCCCAAACCACACGCACAAATCAGACCCACACACAACAATCGCGCTTCGCAGGAAACAATTTTCAACTGGGAAAACGCAGAAAAGGGAAATTCCCCTTCTCCCAAGCCTTCCCTACACCCTGGCACAAGATCGCCATTTTAAGCTTTTTGCAAGCTTCTGACCTGAGCTGGGGACATCAGACCCCACCAGGACACCAGCGCAGAGCAAGCAAACCAAAGCCTGCCCCCACCCGGGAGCGGTCACCCGCCCTGGCAGCATAAGGCGCCTGCAGACTGCCGGCGGTGCGCATCACCCCCTGGTCTCGGCGCCCACGGCAGCTGCCGGCCCAGCACCTCCACTTCGCCGCGTACCTTCCCTAACCAAATGACGCGCCACCAGCCTGGCGCTCAGCAAACACGAGTCGCAAGCCGGGATTTCATTCCTGGGACGTCCAAGGCCTCCTCGGCCCAAAGCGCCCCCCGCTCCCACCCCGGCCACGAAGACCAAGCGCCCAAGCGTCCCAGCCGGGCCGCGGCCCCGGCGACCTTACCTTTCGCTTCGTTATCCGAGGTGTCTGGGCTGGAGTCGGCGGTTTTGGCCCGCTCCTTTTCACTCTCCAAGGGGCTGCCTTTGGGGCCCGCCAGGCTCTGCTCGGTCTTGATCTCATTGGGGCTAGGGGTCTGGCTGTCGGACTTGGGGGTCTCAGGGAAACTCACTTTGCCCCCGAGCTGGGGAGATTCCAGATGTTCGGCGCGCGAGTTGAGACTGGCCCGCTGCTCGAAAGGGGCTTCGAAGTCGTTGGCCCCGGCACAGTGGGGCGGCTTGTCCAGCGCGGAGTAGCTCGGGCTGGCGCGGTAGTAGCTGGGCACAGGCACCTCGTGCTCCCCGAGGCAGGACTCCTGCAGGGGTTGGGAGTAGAGGGCTGCCTCGGGGCCACTTTTAGCCCGCTTCTCCGCGCTGTACATGCAGCAGACATTCTCCTCCTTGACACTAGGTGGGTAGGAACAGGAGGACAGCGGCCTGCCAACAGGTTGTTCCAGGCGGTAGGCGGCTTTGGGGTCGCCCCAGGAGTCCAGCTGCGAGAGGTAGGACGGGTAGGTGTTGAGGGAGAGATTGGGGCTGCTGCCCTCGTCCCTTTTGGAGAGCGAGGGCGCGAGCCCGCAGCCCCGCATCACCCCGCAGTTGAAGTCACTCCCAGATTGCATATACATGCCTGCGCTTCGGCTATAGCGCTCTCCTCCGCCTGACGCAGCCAAGGGCTCCGCGTACGAGTTCGGAGTTACATTGCGAGGGCATGTCATTTTCAGAGAGAGGGGTTTTTAAGGAGCAATACTACAGCGGAGGAGCTGACATCTTTTTTTTTTCCCTATTCGGGAGGGTGGGGGGCTGTTGGAGGGGCGGGAGGGAAAAGAAGGGGGGGGGAAATATCAGCTCCATAATTATCCGTGTATTCGGTCCTCACCATGTGACGGCTAGACCAATGGGATTTGAAAATGGCCTTGATGATTCAGACGGCCGTGACGTCAGCAGGGTCAAGTTGTCGGCAGGCGGAGGGCTCAGCGTGGAGTAACAGCGCCACCTAGCAGCCACCTTGGGGTAGGGGCGCGGGAGCCCATCCCCGCGAACAAAGGAAGCGCCCTCGGGGCGGCAGGGGCAGGAGCGGGTGGAGGAAGATAGGGGGGCTCTAGGGAGAATGGGGTTTGTTTATCCAGGAACCAGCCTGTAACTCCTGGGGAGAGGGGAGCGGAGAGGGGGCAAATGCGGGAGAAAGGGAGAAAGCGAGGCAACTCGGGGCTCAAAACAGTCCAATTCAAATTAAAAGGTCAAGACACGATTCAGGTACTTCTTTCCCTCTTCTCACCTCCCTTTCTCCTCTCCTTGACCCCCGCCCCCTCTTCTTCCCTCGGGAATGGGAGTTGGGTGAGGTTGGGTGGGGGGAGGGCTCCTGTGAGCAAAGACAGAGAGAAAAAGTTAGGAATCCCAAACAAAACTAAAGTTTCTGCTCTCCCGCGTCCAGGTTCGTCAGGTTTGGCCTGGGAACTCAGTGTGGGGACCTTCAGTCACAGAAGCTGATTGAGTTGCAAGCTCCCAGTGGAATCTCTTCTGTCTGGGGTGGGCCAGGTAGGGATCACCATCACTTTAGGGATACTGAGGGGAAAGGAGGTTCTGAGTGAATCTAGGAGTCGGGGCAGGAGGAAACCGGGAACCAGAGGCACCGGTTCCCCGACCTGGGAGTGCAGCCTGGGCCTGGCAGGGTGGGCGGCTCCTGGGTTGCCATCCCAGGGGCGGGAAGGCTTTGGCCTTGGAGTCGGTTCTGCTGCTTTTGCTCCAGGCCCTGGCGGCCCTCCAAATGACCTTGCCCCAACTAAAACAGGGAATATCCCAGAGCGAAAAAAGAAAATCCTCGGGGTCTCTGCTGCTCTGGAGGAGTCACGGATCATACAGGAAACCAGGACACCAGATGCCACAAAAAATCTGACCGAGAGAAATGTCCTTTCCAGAGCGAATGAGCTGGGGGCATTTTTGAAAGGAGAACAGGGACCAGTCTATTTTTGTGGTTTTTATTGTTTAATAAAGGGTGTCGAGAAATGGGAGACAAGGTCTATTTCACATAGTTCTATCCCTGTCGCTATCGCCATTCTCCCAAAGCGAACTAAACTCTCCACCCCTTCCTCAGGAAACGGAATCTGGAGAACAACTTGTCTTTCCGGTCGCCCCGCATTTTCCCTTGGATAAAGCCGCCTCGGGTTTCGACTTTCGGAAGGGCTGGAGCGTGGCTGGGAAAAGGACCGGAGCTCCAGGCGCCCTGGCGTGGAGTGAGGAGGCTGGATCGCTTCTAGGGAGGCCCAAGCCCCCGCTGCTAGAACGTGACTTCGGAAAGAAATCCGCCGAATTCTCTCATCCAGGGGGTGAGAGAGAAGGCACAGGGGTCCCTGAATTTCGGGAAAACTGGAAGAAAATTTGTAATGTGTGACTTGCTTGCAGGGCCAGCCAGAGGAGATCTGAAATGGTTTTGTGCTTTCATTTGCAGGGTTAGCGGTAGGCTCAGCACAGGTTTGGCCTGGGCAAGGTTAGGCTGTTTAGGCCCCAGACAAGACTTGGGACAGCCTCGGCAGCCGTCAATCCAGGGAGCCATTTGTCCCACCGCCCACCCCGCGGGAAATGGCAGAGACTTTATGACCACTCTGTTTGTATTATCTGCATAAGTCTTTCCCCACCAGTTTGATCGAAACTGTTCGCTTTTACGAGGACCCAACGAAAATTCCCCGTCATATTTATCAGCCGGGGATAAAAATTTAGTATGGGAACTGATATTTCCTCATTTATGGGGCGATGAAATTAAAGACCAAAGCAATTGAGAATTATATGGCTTTGGGGGGTTCCCTCCCCCCTCTTTCACATCTCCTTTATTTTCCTTCCTGGTGTGCCTGTTCCTGGAGTTTGGAATCCCAGTCCCCTGCCCTTGCCCTCATTTTGGGGTTTGCTGGGCCCTCTCCCCACACCCAAATACTGCTTGGCCACGTCAGCTTTTCCTGCTTTTTCTTTGAATAAAAACCTGCAATCCTGGAGCCTCTGCCCTGGCCTGGCCGTGGAAGGTTGCAAAGAGCCTTGAACGGGAAGAGTGTGAGCCCAGCCTGGGACGGAGTGTGGGAGGCAGTGGGAGGAGAGTGCTGGAGACGAACTCCAGATTACCTCTCAAAAAACAGCAAGCCCCAAAGTTTAACTCAGGGAACCGGCGGAAGAGGAACAGAGTCACTCGGCCTCCGGACCTATCTCCCCCTAAGCCCTACCCCAGTCCCAAACTCACTCCTTACCTCTGCCACGGGAGGGGATGGAGTCACTTCAGAATCCTTGCCATTATTAATGGAACAATTCCCTCCGGGGAGAAGAAGCCTCCCGCCTCTATTCCCACCTCCTCACAAGAACAAATAGTGTTTAAAGTTGAAATAATTAGAAGTATGATAAACACGGCCCATTAATGAAAAAAGAAATCAAATTCATCAGCCTAAGTGGGACCCCCGGTGGGACAAATGTTTGCCTCTAATTACGCAGGATAAACGCAAACCCGGAGCTGTTAAACAGGACCCGGTGGACGCAGACTTAAATAACTTGTTAGGTTTTTGCAGACTTTGGGATTCTACCCCAGTGGAGGCAGAAGGAAGGAAGGCTTGAGGGTGAGGAAGTGGCAAGGGGAGCACTGGTGCGGGCTGAGAAAAATACAGACGGATGTGGGTCCCAGCCCTGCCCCCTTGGGCTCGGTCTTTCCAGAGGCCACGAGCAAAGGCTGTTTCAGTCCTATTGTCCGGGCCTGGCGTTCAAAGGCACTCGGGCTGCCACGGCCATCCGCCTGCCGCCGCTGAACTCCTGGAGAACTGGATGGGGGTCCAGGAGAAGTCTGTGTTGTTAGAATCACCCTGTTAAGCTGTTTCCCCAACTTTCTGGGAGTGCCGAGAGACCTGCACCTAAGCCTGACTCCGGGGCTCCACCTTCTCGCCGCAACTTGGTGATATGAAAATCCAGAGGCTGCAAACCAGAGTCGGCTCAGGCTGCACCTCCGCCTCAACCAACCGCAGCTACCCCAAGAACCCTGACCCCTTATGCCCTTCCTCTCATACCCAGACCCTGGAAGGGCAACAGGGATAGGGGCTGGGCCTCCTGCCATTTGTGGGACTGTGATCGAGGAAGAGGAGCGGGTTCCAGAGGGCAGTCCTAGGGCTGAGGCACAAGGGGTTCCCCACGTGAAAACCTAAGGAAAAAGCAGTACTCAACCAGCAGAAAGGAACCTCGGTGGTTTTCCCAGCTCTCGACTTCAATGCACCCCAGAAATACCCTGATTTCTCCAAGGAAAATTAGCAGAGTTTCCGCAAGAGGGTAAAGAACTCATCTGAGAAATTCCAAGGGTGAAGTGAAAAAAAGAAGCGTCTCTCCCTTTGGGGTAAAGTAATAAAATAAAATAATAAAGTGTGTATGTTGAAATCTCTTCAAGTGAAATGGAAAACAAAATCACACCAGTGGTGAAAATTAAAGTTTTTTTTGTCTTGTTTTGGAGGCTCTGATAAATCATTTTCATCCCAAAACTTGAAGGATAATTTGCTTGCTTCTTTGCCAACACTGGGCTCGGCCCCAGCTGAATTTAGAGCAGAGAAATCCCAGGCAAAATGTAGAATGCTCAGAAGCCCATCAGAAAGATTTTTCAAACAGGTTCAAGAGGGATGTAGAAGGTAGTGGACACTTGGAGGGACCTCTGGTCCACTCTGGATCTCGCAGCCACCCTGGCAGCCCGGCCATCAGAGTCCCCCTCCCATCTGGAAGTTGTACACATTTCTGCCCAGATGCTATAGTTTACCATCTATACACTTGTCCAACTTGGATATAATTGGGTGTACACATCCACAAATCATCAGTTCACCCAAAAACATGCTCTCTGAGATACCCGAATCCTGAAGTCTGATAACTGGAGCCAGCGCAACTGCTTTCTTGCTTGCCGAAGCCAGCCAGTTATTTAACTTGGCCTCCTGAATCGAAACCAGACAGCAAACACTTATGAAAGAAGCTTTGGGAGGAGGAGGCTGATGGGAGGATGTCTTGTGGGGTGGGGGGTGGGAGTGGGGGGAACCTTGATCTACAGTTTAATTATTTGCTCCAAAGTTGCCCCAGAAGGTTGGGTTTCCAACCGGAGTCAGGGCTGTGGTTGGGCCAGCTTACTCCGGAGAAAAAACCCCGCTCCTCCCTTAGCGGCTCGATTCTGTGTAGATCTGTTTTCCATCTTTTTTTCCTCTTTCTTTCCCCCTCTCCTCCTTCCTTCCATCCATCCATCCTTCCTTCCTCTCTTTCTCCTCCTTTCTCCTTATTTGCTTATTTCTTTATTTTTCTTTTCTTCTTTTTTTCCTGTAATTCATATTTTCTTTCTCTTTTTCTGATCATTTCCATTTCTTTCTTAATTCACTGTCTTCCCTTCTTTCCTTCTCTGTTATGCAATATATTCTTCACTCTTTTCTTTCCTCCTCCACACTTTCCTTCCCCTGGACTTTCTCCCAGCCTTTCTTGTTTTTCTGTTGTGCTGAGATCGGTGAGGGGAGAGCACCGCGCTCAGTCGCATCCCTTCCCAGCCTCACTGCTCGGCTTGGAGTTGACCTTCTCCCGCCTTCAGCCTTAACTCAGCTCCTCACAAGGCGAAGGTAGGGCTACCAGCGGCAGATGGCGAGGCCTCAGCAGTCACCATTAGAGGGAAGGAAAAGCGGGTGTTGGAGCACATCCCTACTGACTCCGATGGCTCCCTGAAGCACCCAGTACCAGGGGTCAGGTATCTTCAATCCTCTCGCCCCAAAGAAGCCTCATCCATCAGGCCTGTCTTTGGAGGAGCTGCTCCATCTCTATTCTGACCTCCAGAGCTGAACATTAAAATCACCCCAATTTGAGCCCAGTTGGTGCCCCAAGGCTGGAGTCTGGGGAAGTGAAGGAGTGGGGTTTTGTCAGTCCCAGGTGGTGGGCATATCTAAGGGGTCACCCGTGGGCTGAGCAGCCCAGGGCCATGTCCCCACATGAGCACCTTTGTTCTCCGAGTTCCCGGACTGTAGCCCGCCAGCCCTCCGTCTCCTTCCATCCTCCAACCACTGCAACCTCTAGGCAGGAATTTCTTGGCATTTTGAATTCTTTCTTTTTTCAAACCTGCTGTGGACTTTTCCGGAGGCACAGATTCAGGGCTGTGTGCAGAGATGCTCCCCAGTTGGCAGTCTGAGTCAAGGTTATGGGTCTCCACTTTGTGCAGTGGGTTGAGGGTGTGTACGGGGCTGAGTGTGTGAGAGAGAGAGGGGGGAGAGGGAGAGAGAGGGAGAGAGAGAGAGAGAGAGAGAGAGAGAGAGAGAGAGAGAGAGAGAGAGAGAGAGAGAGAGAGAGATTGAGAGAGAGAGAGAGATTGAGAACGAAGCCTGCAGGAGAACCAGAACCAGAGGGCGTTTTGGAGATCTGGTCCTGCTGTCCCACTGACATGTCCAAACTTTGGGGGTCTGTAAGGGTGTGTCTCAAGAGCAGAGTGGTTAGGTCCCTCCTGGAGGCCAGTAGCCTCTGTCAGCTGGCAGCACCCAAAGCTGAGTCCAAGATGGACCTCAGAAAGGATTGATCTCAACCTTTAAGTCTTGTTTTGCTTTAGGCAGAAGAGAGGCAGCTCCAGACACCCTCCCCCCACACTGGGGCCCCAGAGCCTCTTTTTCCCCAACCTCCCAAAGATCCTGAGATTTCTTCCATGGCAAGACCAAAACTTTAAGTTTTTTTTTTAAAGGGAGGAGGAATCTTGTAAAACTTTCATGCCAAACAAAGTTATAAAAACTTCCCGGGAGTGTCTTTTCCAAAGGTTTATATGAATAATAAAGAGTGTAGTCGCGTGCACACGGTTCTGGCGGGCTCTGAGCCGGGAGGGCTCAACAAACAGCATTACCCAACCCTGGGGCACCAGAAAACCCCAGGGGCTGCTCCCTTGAGGGAATACTGGCCCAGAAACGAATTGCCTGAGAGGGGCGGGGAGAAGGAAGGGGTGGTGCCCTTGACTCCCTTGAAGTTCAAAGTTCTTTGCCCTGGTGAGAAAAGCCTTTTCTGCCTTCAGCCCACTCGAGAAAGAGTAGTTTCTCCCACTCTTGTTGAGAGCTGGCTCCAGGTATCCTCAACTCCATTCATCTTTCAGACACCTGGTCTGCAACTTCCTTGCTTTCGCAAAACAGAGCTCCCCATCCTCTCCATCTGGGACACCTAGAACATGTGCGCTTCCTCTCAGAGGGGCTTGGAGGAGCTTGAGTGGGCTGTCTTGCAAGGAACCCTCATTGGCATCACCATTCCCCAGCAACCTAGGAGTCTGAATGACAAAGAAACCCCAAACCCCAGGCTGGCCCCAACCTATTTCTCCTTTCAAGTTTTCCAGGTTCCCCCTGCACCCCCAAAACCCATAGTGGGAGGGGGAGGAGCCCAGAGTGCTCTCTCTCAGCCCACACCACTTAATACCCTTGTAAACTCCCACGTGCGCTATAAACTTGGATTTTTACAACCAACATTCCTCCTTAGCTCCGGGAAACTTTGAACTCGGCCTCGGGTTTATTTACTGGAGGGGGGAGGGGGCTAAGGCACTGGACGCTAAGAACGCTAAAGGAGAAGAGAGGGAAAATGCGGGCAAGGGGGTAATACAGTGGGGGTCTGGGGTGTGTTGGGGAAACCAAGCCAAGACTGTCCACTTTGGGTTTGTTTACTATTTAGGGCGGAAGTGTTTTCTAACACAGGCCAGACTGGGTCGTTAAGGGTGAAATGAAACTGAGTTTAGAAGCACTGGGGGGGCGCTTTATGGCAGCGTCTAGACCAAGATCTTTTGTTCCCGGGCAGCGCCATGGCTGGAGGGGATTACCCAGAGATGTTGAGCTCAGAGTGCCCCTGAACCGGCAAGGGGGGTTGGACATCCCAGGGTCCCGAAAGTGGGTTTGTATGGGGGACAGAGACCCCTTTTTCATTTTTAGAGGGTTGCCAAGGACTAGAAGGTTCCTGGGCCTGGGTCACAGAAGCTTTTTTTTTTTTTCACTATAAACCCCTGTCCTTCCAAAATCCTTCTGGAGGTAGAGATTTTCTCTGGGCTGCACATTGCAGGAAAAGTGGTATCTGTGGGTTTTAAATACTATTCTGCAAAAATAAGGAGCATTTGGAAACTAATATTTTGTTTTATAAACAGGTTTGTTCTGTAGAGTTATCTCCATCTTATTTTATTGGAAACATGGCTGGCAGGCCAATATTCCTTGTAATGACTAGTGGATAAACATCACACCTGGAGAAGTCTCACACACACACACAAGGAGGGCCCTCAGCTGCATTCCTGCCAACACTCATCAACCACTGCCAGTGGTAACACACCACAGAAGATACAAGCCCTAGATGTGCATGTATTTGTACATCTTCATACTACAGGCAAAAGCAAACAAATAAAATATTCCTTTTCATGTGCACTCATAGACACACTGACTTGAATAAAATATTTGTGTGTGGGCAAATAAGGGAATTGTAGGGCCATACATACACCCTAGTGTGCAAATTTTGTCTCAAATTTTACAAATTTGAGATTTAGACACCTAATTTTTTAGGTGTCTGCAGGGATCCCTGCCATCAAAATTACGACGGAACCTGGATGTATGATATAGTCCATAGTTGGGGTGCTTTTTTCCCTTGCATTCAACAGAATTATATTGACAAAAAAACATTTTCTTTGAATTACATAAGAAAAGTTCCAAAGAGAGGGGGGAAATGAGAGAATGGATTCCAAACGTCTGTCCCCAAATAACAAATTTGGAGCATTGAAAACACTGAAAGGACAACAGTTATCTTTATACAGAAGAAACATGCAGCAGATATAGATGGGTGTGGTGGCTGTTCCAATGTGTCACCTCTTTCCCCAGTGCCCTACCCTATGCTAACCCCTTACAAAACAAATTTCTGGGGGTTTCTACTCTGGGAGACCCAATGGATAGCCATCAGGGTGGCCCCAACCTAGGGTCTTGTTATGTCTGGAGGAGCCTGGCCATTTGTGCTTGAGAGGAAGGGGCCCAGTCACACCTTCCCACCCTCAGGAGCTGGTCTCAGTGAGGACAGGGAGGGAGCTGGCTTCTCCTCCTCTCTCCTCCCTACTTCAAAACTGTATATAAAATTCCAGCACAGTCTTCTCATAGAGAAAAAAACGAAAGCCCTACCCTCAACCCTACACATTTAACTGCGACAGACGGAGACATCTGGCGGGAGGGTGGTGGAGCCAAGAAAATTCCTATAAATTTAAATTCGATGATGGTTACAATTAACTCCACAACAAACGTGTACTTAAGTGGAAAGCATTGCTGGGCGTTTGGATGCAGCTCGAGCTACACGTGAGAAAGGAGAGTTTTAAAGGTAGCCATGAATGTCCTCAGTTTAAGAGCAGGAGGAAGCTACCACCACACTCTTGCCCCAACCAGTGGAGAGGGGTTGCAGGCCCACCAGCTCCAGCCTACCTCACCTTTACAGGACTGTCCCCACCGGCCGGGCTCTGCCCGCCTGCCTCCTCCTCCACCTTGGGAGCATTGAGGGTTTTAAGAGGAGAGGGGCTAATAAAAGGGTCAAATAAAATCATAATATTGAACAGAATGAAATATCTTTATTTGCACCAAAAAAATTCACAGCAATCCCTCTGGGATCAGGGTGGGGATTGCACACGTACACACACACTCACGCACATGGGAAAAGATGGGTGATTTGAATCTCATTCCAGGCAAGTCCTTCCCCCATTCCCTCCGGGTAGAAAGAAACGCTTGTGAAACTTATTTACAAAAAAATTCAGGCCCCAGCATGGGGAAGGCGCCCAATTCCATCTCCTTAATGTCTCCTCCGCCCCAATCTTAATTATTATTATTTTTTTACTTAAAGAAAAAAGGAGGTAACAACTGCATAGACTATAGCTATAAATCCATGGAGTGGGGCACGGCTTGGAAAAAGGTTAGGAAACCTCAATGTACCAGTTAGGAAATTTCAAAGGGGGTCTCTACACATTCACGGGGAAGACAACTAGGCTCAGGCGGGGCCTGAGCACAGATGGAGGTAGGACACGGACTTTGCACACCTAACACCAGGTCAAAGGTACAGAAATTTCACAGCAAGGCAGGATCACATTTAGCTGCCCCTTAGCAGTGGGGCCAGGTGGGGAAGGTGCGGGGAGCCCGAGAAGTCTCCCCTCGCAGACGCAGTGTCTTAGCAGATCTTTTCACTTGGGTAAAGGGAAGGCTTTTAGTTCAAGGATTGTTCAGCTCAGGCGCCCACTACTCTCGCCCCTCCCCCGCCCAATCCGAGCAGCAAGACATTGTCGCGAGGTGTGTTTTCTTTTAAATAAGGAGTTTGGCCTCGGCGCCAACGGTGTGCACCCGCCGTGGGGCAGACACTTCCCTTCACCCGCTTTTCAGGCCTGGTCCCTGTCCCACAGCGAGAGTCAGCCAGAAGGTGAAGGAGGGTCCGGAAAGATGTGCGGGCAACGGCAGTGGGGGCCAGCCCTGGCCACAGTCCAGTTTTCCACCCGCGGAAAGAAGGCGAGTTAGAAAATAAAAAATAAAAATAAAATAAAATAATTTCCCCCTTCCCCCCCTCCCCGAAAAGGGCCCGGTCTGCAGTTACAGCAGAGGATTTCCCGAGAAATACTGCAGCCGGTCTCTGCTTAGTTTTTTTTCTTTCATCCTTCTGTTCTGAAACCAAATTTTCACTTGTCGGTCCGTCAGGTTCAGCATCCGGGACAGCTGCAGCCGCTTCTCTTTGTTGATATACACGTTGAAGAAAAACTCTCGCTCCAGTTCCCGGATCTGGAATTTCGAATAAGGGCAGCGCTTCTTGCGGGTGCGGGGGGCGTCTGGAGGGGAAGGGAGGGGGCAAGTGCGAGGAGAAGGGGAGAGAGACACGTGAGACCCGGGCCACCCCAGGCCACTGAGCGCTCAGCGGCCCTGCTCTCAGCCCCGCCGCCAGGCCGCCCTCCCGCCTGGCCGGCTGGCTCTCTCGGGGACGCGGGCCGCCGCGCTGGGGCAAGCCTCCATCCCCCTGCTAGGTCTAGCTCGTCCCAATCTCGGGCCACCGCGGGACCCGCGCCCCCTCCCCTCAGGGGAGAGCCGCGGGGTACGCGGCTGGGGGAGAAGGAAGCCAGCGGGGCCAAGTGCGTCCCCGGGCCCCCCCCCTGCTCAGCCGCGGTCCTCTGTCCCTTCCTGTGCTGCCCTCCTAGTGGCTATGAAAGACCACCCCCTCACGCCCAGAAACCTGGGGGGACCGCGGAGAACAGGCGCGAAGAAGTGCGATCGGTGGGGCGGGCGGGAAGCAAGCGAGAGAGCAGACACCGCCAACACGAGGGCCGCTTCCGGGGCCCTGGCGCCCCGGGACGCCCGGCGGGCCGCGCCTTCCACCCTGCCGGGCTAGGCCGGCGCTGAGGCCGCGGACCTCAGAGAAACACCTAGACCCAGGCCCAGAGCAGAGCGCAACCCTGAGCCGCCTCTTCCGAGCTCTCTGTCGCCATGACCCCGGGTTGCTGGCGTTCTGCTCAAGGACCCGTGAGCACATAGTTTGAACATTTCAAAAATAGTTTTAAAAAGAAGCAGAGCAGCCCGGGCTAGCCTCTGCGGTCTCAGGTTCTGCATCATTGCCTCTCTCCCCCACCACTCCCCCTCTCCGTGTTTCTCCCTCTTTCCCTAGCCCTCCCCTTTCTCCCCCTCCACTCCTCCCCTCCGTCCCACCCCCCGGCAGCCCGGCTCCCCATCCTTCCTTAAATGCTCCTCTAAGTTCACGATCAAAGTTAATATCGCCCGCGATGGTGGCGCTTTTAAAAATTTCACAGACCGAGGGAGATAACGGGGAGGGGGTTCACCCGGCTTTTCCAAAGAGCCCTTCTCCCTCCCTCCCCACCCCTTCTCCATCGTAAAAAGTCGAGTCGTTGGGAGAGAGGGCTTTGTAGGTTATAATAAAATCCTTTGAATGCTTATAAAACTCCACATAAAATCGGACTGACCCAAAACACGAGGCCGTCCCCGCTCCCCTCGCCTCCCCCCTGCTCTTGCCCACCCTTTCACGCTCCCTCCCCGCTGCCAGCCTGTTTCCCGGCCGCAGCTACCTACTGGGGGCGGCTCCCTTGGCCGGCTCCTTGGCCGCCGAGTGGGCTGAACCGGACGAGCTGGGATTCGTGTTTTCCTCCTCGGCCTCGGCCTCGCCACCAGCCTCAGCCCGGGACGCTAGTCCCGAGGCTGGGGGCGCCTCGGGCTCCCCCTTGGCCTCGCCCTTGCCGGGGCAGGGGGGCTCGGCGGGCGCGTCGCCGCCACCGCAGTAGGCGTTGTCGAAGAAACGGTCGAAGGCTTGAGGCAGGACGCTGTTCTTGTTGACTGAGGAGTAGAAGCCGGCGGGGGCTGCGTGCGGGGCGCTGGGGTGGTGGTGGCCGCCGTAGGAGCCTTCGTTTTTCATGAGGATCTCGGTGACGGTAGAAGGAGGCAGGCACTCCCTGTGCATAAGCTCGTCGGCCGCCGCATAGCAGGAAGAGTAGCTGTTCCGGTGGTGCCACTTGCTGGATGGCTCCAGGCCGTAGGAGACCTCCCGGACCGGGGGCACTTGGGCTGAGTAGGGATAGGAGATCTGACGAGACGGGGCCTGGGGCAGGAAGGAGGAGACCGTGGAGAACTCGGGCACGTAGTAAGTGCAACTGGGCAGATAGAGGTTGGAGGCGCAGCTCCCTCGCTCGCCAAAATCAGCGCCCCTCTCCTTGCGCGACGGCGAGCAGAAGTTGCCCAGGTTGACCGAGTTAAACATCGTTCTCTTCTCCTGCCGGCTCCAGATGGAAGTTTTGGACCCGGTCTAGCGAGGGGGGAAAATTTGGGAAGGCGAGATGACGCGTTATCCGTCTTAGTCTCTCTCCCCGGGCACGTGATCCAAAGTAGATATTGTCATATATCAGTTCGGAGCACTTCGCAGACGTAGGAGGGGTTCTCTCTTAGGTAAGATGGGGACGTTCAGGCGATTGGTTTGCAAACACCGCAGAAACATTATGAAAATCAATTGCAGATTTGTATTCGTTTTTCTCTCTCACTCCCCTCCTCTCCATTCCACAGAGCGAGCAAAGGAGGAGAGAGTGGGTTGGGGTGGGGTGGGCGGTGGGATGGGCGGGGGCGGTGGTTGGGAGGGGGTAATTGTAATTTTTTTCTGGCTGCTGCTCTTTTTTCCCCCAGGATTGGGGGAAGAGGAGGACTTTCATGTATGGGGGGGGTCTTCCCTCTTAGCAGTGATCAGCCCCAGCCTGGATGGGATAAAGCCCTCTTTCCCCACTGCCTGGTTCTGCTAGAGATGTGAGTCCTCCCCCCAACTCTCAGGCACTCTTACCCTATCAACCCGCAGAGGGCCAGCGTCTGTTTACAAGAGTTTGAAGAAGTCTATTCTTTTCCTGGCCAGGGCTGGGTGTCAAGACTCTCTTTCCCCTTTGGAAAGAATCTCCAGAAGAGTGTCTGAAGTTTCCCAAAGGTGAGGCACCCAGTAGCAAGCCGGTGTCCCAACTTTGTCTGGTTTGCTGTGTTGTGCCAGCGGCTAGGGACTCAGATTAGTCATAAACGAGTGGTAAGCAGTGCGCCAGCCGCCCAGCCGGTGCCTGGCGAAGTCTGGGAAAAACCTTCTCTAATGTGTGTTAAATATTTAGTATGAGAGAGTGGCCCTGGGTGAATATTTCATGTCTGTCTTTATTGTCAATCAATGTGCAGAAAGCTACATCCACTGTGGATTTTTAAATCTCAGACCCCAAAGATAAAGATTGGAATGAGAGCCATGTATCCTCTCTGGCAGGGGGTCCTTCGGATTGGGAGCTCAGCCTTTGTTGGTTTGGGAGCTGAAAAGAAGCCTAGTGTCAGGGTCCAGGAAGGATATAGAGGGGGCACTGGGTTTGGGGCTCCTATCCTTGAATGATTTGTGAGGTTGTGAGGTGGGTAGTAGAGCCAGGTATGGATCTCCAGGACAGACCAGCAGGGCAGTGGAAGGGAACTGAGGAAGCTGGGTGGGCAGTGCGAGGCCAGGGGCCACTCCCTAATGGAAACCCCCAGCCTCATTGCCAGAGGCTGCAGCCAGGCCTCAGGTGCCTCTTTCTTGTCCCTCAGCCCTGCCTTGCCCTGCCTATTCCATGTCTGCCAGTCTCCCAGATGGCTGTGGCCTAAGGGGTCGACTCAGTGGTTCTGCCCTCCCTTGCCTCCCACTCCCCTGGGCACCACAGGACACATAGGGCAGCTGAAAATCACTTTATTGAAAGATTCTGAAGTGAGTCCAAGGGGCCAGAGCAACAGCCACAAGCAGAGAGTAACCCTGGATCCAAGGAGGAGCCACCGGGGTACAATTTGTTCAGGTAGGAGGGGAGAAACTGAAGCCCAAGGTCTCAGCTCATTGTGCTCTTGGAGAAAGCCAGAGATGGCCCAAATTCTCTTTTCACCCCTGACTTTGTTAAAATTGGTTTTCACTTTTAAAATATTTGGATTTGATTTTCCTGGCAGAAATTGGTGAGCTACCCAAGGACCCAAAAATAAATGGGGAAGACACAAAAAAAAATTGTACCTTTTCCCCAAATCCATTCCTTTTGCCTCCTGCCTCCCAAAATTTGCTAAGCCTTTTACAGCAACACGTGGCATGGAGCTGCCTCAGCCATGGGACCCGTTCCTGGGGTGACTCTGGAATGCCCAGAATTAGGCCTCCATCACCTCTCTACCCACTCATTGCTGGGCCATGCTTCCCAAACCCTTCTTTTGGCCTGGCCAGATCTTAACTGAGGGCAAAGAAGAACTAGATTAGGACTTTGCTACAGTGTAGGACTTCTCTGTAGGTAAGGGGCTGCAAGAAGAAAAGTCTGCTACTTTTCCCCCTTCCGCTACTCCTTTTTATAGGGTGAGCTGGGGCCAAGGTTTTTAATTATAATGATGGGGAATTATGGACTGTGGCTTTTATCGGGTTCATGCTGACCTCATTAAACTTGAGTTTATTGGAGGCAAAATGCTCCCCAAACAGTGATAGGAATGGGCAAAAGGGAGATAAGAGGTACCCTTACCCTTGCAGAGGTGTGGATGAGGGCTCAGAGTCTCAGCTCCAGCTTTCCCCGACTTCCCCCAGGGCCCTGTTTCTTTCCCCATCCTGGCCTCTAGGGTGATGTGGGGCCCAAGCCCCCAAGGCGAATTCTGCACTGCCAGGGCCGACAGTGGGGGGGAGGGGGGTGCGCTTCCTGTGAGGAGCCAGCTGTGGGCCTAAGCACTTGAATTTGACCACCAAAGTTTATTCCAGGGCCACCATAAAAGTAAGCCAGGCGGCTGCAAGGAGCTGCTGGCAGCTTTATTTCCTTGAAACAAAAAGAGAAGGCAAGAAAGAATGTCAAAGGAGTTGATGTCCAGGAAACTCTAAGGTCTCCCAGCAGAGGCTTCTGAGACTTAATATTCTTCCTCCTAAAAAGTAAGACATGAAGTTCAAATTTTTTCCTAGTTTTGGTCTGACTTTTAATATTCAACTACTCTTTAAAAATCTCAGCAATTAGAAGTTGCTGCTGGGGTCAAGGAGAGAAGGCCTTGGCCACTGAGGTCAGCAAGACACTGGCAAAAATGCCCATGGTTTGAGCAACCAGCCTCCCTGCCCAGCCCTAGGTCCAAGCCACTCAGAAGCACAGACTGAGTTGCTTACCCAAGCCTGCACTCCAGGATATCAGAGCCTCCCTCAACAGGAAAACCATCTGTAGCTCCGAATTCATTCCCAATAGCTCTGCCAAGCCCTCTTCCCTGGAGTGGCGGCATCTTTTTCCCCTCACCTTATGGCTGCCTGTGACTCCTCCACTCTCCTGGAGTCCTAGGTTTCACCTGAAATCCTCCAAGGCAGAGCTATCCTGCCCACCCAAGGCGGCTCTCGGTGGCCTCAGTCAGTACCGCCTGTCTGGCCATTAGCAGGCAGCTGCGCTCTGCACAGCTACCTTGGTACTCTGGCCAGGGACACAACAGACTCCAGTGGCCTTCCCTTCTCCACACGGACACCAGAGGTGGCTTCAGAAGGGGGCAGTATCTCTCAAATTCCAATCTGAGAAACCTAGTGCAGCACCCCCACCTTTGCCACAGAGCGGGGCTGCCTTGCAGTTTGTCCACCTCCTACAGCTGCTTTGGGCTCTAGAGAGCAGATTGTGGTTGGAAAAGGAGCTCACCCAACACCCACAGACCATGAACTGGAAGGAAAACCTAGGGAGAAGAAAGGCGGTTGTCAGAGCTCAGGTGGGCTTGGACTGTAAGATCAGTCCCAAGTGGAGTCAATAAGAAGATAAGCAATAAATGAGTGGATACCCTCAGCTGTTCCAAGGCTGGGCGGACAAGAATGAACCCTCATTAGAAATCATCTTGCACCTTTTTGTGCATTTCTCTCCCTTCTAGAAATACTTTGCATTTATTAATACCTTTAGTGTGCTTGGATTTTCAAGTCAGCAGTTTATCCTGTGCCCAGGACACCTCCCACTCCCCAGCCATGGCCATCGCCCCAAGCCCAAGGCCCCGAGTCAAGCCACCTAAATGGACACTACTCTCAGGCCCCTGAACAGGACGGGGGAAGGAGGGCAGCTCCTCTACCCCTGCAGCCCCACCCATCTAACTGGGCAGCGGGATTGTCCCAGGAGAATAGCAATGTGACCCCATTTCTCCCCATAAAAGCCCCATTTTACGAGCCAGTTTCACTGGGCCCCTCACCAAATGCTCTAAAATGAAGGAAATGTCTTAAAAGCAGTCTGGAGATGGAGTCACTACCATTGGACCTTGGTTTCCAAACCTAGTTGCAGCAGCACAGAAAATGTCTTTTCGGGGCAGGATTACCACTGCTTGGGCCGCCCGGATCTCCAGCCTCACTGCCCAGCTAAGGCCTGGTTGGCCCGAGCCGCCATTCCCAGCTTTAGCGCCTACTTAGGCTTGGACCCAGTCCTCGCAGATCAAAGTGAGCTGGCGGCATTTTTATGAGATCAACTTCAGTGGCTCTTTACTTGTAATCAGACGACGCCTGAGTCAAAAATGCAAAAGGGAACAGCCCATCAATCCAAAAAGGATAAGGAAAGGGAGAGAGAGAAAGGGAGGCAGGCATGGGATGAAAAAATTCAGGTGACAATAGCAAGAAGATTCTGGCCACCAACAAAAAGACCCTTTGCCTACAGCAAGAATGGTTTGTGGGTCTGTCCCAGCCTCCAAGCCCTGCTATCTGCCGGCACATTTTGCCCCAACTTTCGGAGACCAGGAAGCCTGACTCGCCTGTGTTTTGAAGCTTGATCCCAAAGCTTCCACAGTGTGGACACGCCATGTGGGGTGAGTGTGGCCAGCTGCACTCTCTTGCCTCAGTAGGGAAGTCGCCTTCTGCTCACAATTTAAAAGTCTCTCCCATTTTGCTGCTATCCTCTCCAAGGTCTCCGTGGTCCTCTTGTCACTATAGGCAGAAGTTGACTTACAGGAAGATTGGCCAGAGATTTATTGCCTGGCCCCAAACTTGGAGAGCCTCGTTGTCATAAACAGCCATCTATTGTCTAGACTTTAATCTCCGGGTATGGATTGTACATTATTGAGGCTCAAGAGACACGGGCCTGGCTCTGCAAATTGTGTGTGTGGCTGAGAGCTTGGCCCCTGCTGCAGAGGGTTTCTGTGGGAAGGTGTAGGAGAGCATACAAATTTGTGAGTGCTCTTGGAGCTAGGAAGGTACACCTGAGTGTCCAGGGGTAGAGATCTAAGGTGGACAAGGTCTCTGTGTCTGGGAACACTCCAGTGCATGTACTTGTGTGTTGGGTGAGAATTTGTCACGGTGTGCTTTGTTTCTGGGGCATTTTAAGTGTTCCTGTCTGGGCTTTTGCAGGTTTTATTAACCTGCATCCGCTCAGCCTATTTATGTCCTTTCAAAACAGATTGTCTGGGGTTTTTCAATATTGGGCCCATTGTGTGTGTTTGGCTTCTCTGAGGAAATGGATTTGGGGATAGAGCTCCCTCAGATTCCTCCACCCACCCTAAATCACACCTCAGTTTCTGCCTTCACCAGAATGTCTGGCCCTGCTCCACTCCCCGCAAGTCCTTAAATCTCCCAAGCGGCTACCAAGTTTCTGTCACAGACACAAAACACATTTTTGCAGGATGAAGTCTGGTTATCTCTGTCTTTCCCACAGCAGAGGGAAACATCCCAGTTCATAGGCTCATAAACTCTCTCACTTCCTGGGGCTCCCTTCCCAGGGCTGAGGGGCACACCAGAAAAGGCCCCCCAGTCCATTTTGACCTTTTCAAATACTCTCCATAGAACTCTAGATAACGCCAAAGAGGGCCTACCGCTCCCTCTCTGGGGCTTCCTGGCAGTAAATGTCCTCACCCTGGCCACCCTCCACCCCCCACCAAACCCCTTGAGCCCAAGCAGTAGGATGTTTGCCCAGATTAAACATCTGTGGGAGAGACACTTATCACCTTAGATCTCAGGGGTAGACACTGTTTTTCAAAGCCAGGATCCTTTAACCCAAGCAGAAAAAATCAAATCCTCCCCCTTTGTTTTTCATTATCAGAACACAGGGTGGGAGGGCTCCAAGCACTGAGTCAGCCTGGGAGCTCCACCGACCACCCCCACTGCTCCTGGCCGCTCCCACAAGGATCCCAGACCCCACTTCAAGTCCCTAATAGTCTTTTGGCATCCTCAGCCAGGTAGGTTAAGTGGGAGGGGACTGGTCCCAGAAGGCAGTTTTCCAGTTGAGAACGGTGGAGGGGATAACAATTAAGGGTTTGTGGAGCATTGGATTTAACCAGAGCCCCATCATTGCTTTCTGAGCAGCCCTCCCTCTCTTCCCTTGCCATTAGAATTCCCATTTAAAAAGCAGTGATGAGGCCTAAAAAGGGCTCTGTGGGCGCAGAGCAGGGGGAAACAAGCTGTCAGGTCCGGGGAAAAGGAGGTGAGCCCTTCACAGACACCCCCACGCCATATCCATTCTCTCCTCCACCCCACCCGCCGCCCCCTACTCCCACCACGGCTGCCCTGGGGAAAGGATCAAGGATTCCACTCTAGGTTGCTTTCTCCCGGCGCCTCTGGCCGGTCTCTGGCCGCCGCTCCGGAACACGCTAGCTTCTGGGGGCCGGGTGCGGCACCGCCTTACTCTGTCTCTCCCTGTCTCCTTCCACCCCTGCCTCTCCCTCTTCTCTCGGTTCAACAAATATCGAATACACTCGTTTCTCCGCACCTCAGGTCTAGGCAGGGCCGGCCGGCGCCGGGGATCGCCGCCGCAGGCCGGGTCCTTGCGCGGCGCGCTTTGCTCCCAGCCCCTCCGGCCACAGCCTCCTTTGCTAGCTGCCGGGTGAAATCGCTTCTCTCCCTCTTTCCTGCTTCTGCTCTTTCCGCCCCTGGACCTGAGAAATAAATAAATCCAAGCCTCCTACCTCATCAGCCCTCCCCATGCGTGCTGCCTCACTTCTCCTTACCGAGTGTACCGCCTTGTTTTCGGAAGGAAATCTTAATAGTCAGATATTTAAGCTGTAAATGAACTTTTCTTTGTGACGGCTAATTTTCTGTCCAGTTCTTATGTCCTGCTCCGCTTCGTGGTGGAATGGGACGGATTTAGAAGTCTGCAGTAGGGGAGGGGGGTGGAGAGACTGTAACCAGAGTTACAGACAGTGGCGAGAGATACGCAAGACCGAGAGATACGGAGAGAAAAAGAGGCGTTGGGTTGAGGAGAGGAGGGAGGGAGGAGAGAGAGAGGGAGGGAGGGAGGGGGGCCCAGCTGGCGGGAGCGGAGCCAGAGAGAGAAAAGGAGAGAAAAGTTTCCCGGAGTCTTCATTAGTTGACTTCCCTGTCCGCTGCTTCCCCCAGTCGGCTGAGCTCACCCCCAATAAAGGAAGGAAGGCGGTCTTTATTTTTATTTAAGGCCCCAAAGAGTATGGTGTTTACAAGACCAGAAATGCTAGGGCATCGTCCTGGCAGAAAGAAAGGCTGAAATGGAGGACCGACGACGTCTTCCTTTTAAGGTACGACGCTAACTTGACCTTCACTTTGTCATGGCGTCCCCCGCCCACCCAGACTGCTGCAGGCCGCCTGGCAGGGACGACCACTGTGGACCCTGGCCTCTGCCTCCCTCCTTCCTCCCTTTCGCTTTCAAATCTCTATTCTTTCCTTTTAAAAATATCCTTCCTTTTCCCTTCTTTTGCTTCCTTTTTTTCTGCCTTTTTCTCTATCTCCTTCCTTCCTTTTTTTCCTGCTGTTCCTCCTCCTGCCCTTTTCTTTCGCTGCTGCTGCTTCTTCTTCTTCTTGCCTGTCGGCTTCACGTTTTCCCTTGATTCTGTCTTCCCTGGCTCTTTCTATTGCAGTCTTTCTCTCTCACACAACAGCCTTCCAGTCTTTTGAAAACCGGAAACAAGAAAAAATATTTTCAGTTCTCTTATTCCCACTTCCCCAGCCTGGCTTCTGTCGCCCATCCACTTGTCCCTGGGGAAGAAGGTCCAGGAAAGAAGGCCAATATGGGATCAAAGGGGGCTTCACTCTGGGCCCAGTCCCACTTGGGGATGACAGTGAACTTGGTTTTGGTAGGGCACTGTCTTCCTCTCACTTGCCTTAACCTGCTAAGTCTCTGTAACCCTAGTGGTCTTGAATTGAGCAGGCAAAGCCCTTGATTGTGGGGGCATGAGGTCAGCAGAGACTCTTACTCCTGAGACTAAGGGAGAGAGTTAAGTACCAAATTGTTGTTCATCCTTCTCTGAGCTCTCAGCCCCTAAAATCCTAGGATTTAGCTTAAGACATCAAGGAAGGAATTTAGAAAATTAGGGATTTCTGGAAATTCACAAGACAGACTATCAAGTTCCCTCTCACCTTGCTTATTGCTGCCTCCTAGGCTCCAACAGAGCCTCTGACATTAACTTTAATCATATATTGTTGGGCTATAAAATAAATAATATTATTGACACCCCTATAATTATCTATTATTCACTTAGTTGTGATAATTACAATACTAGATGAGGCAGGTCTGTTCAGACAAAGCCAAACAAATATCCTGCAAAATGAAACTGGATCACTGAGGCCTTCAGAATCTCTTGTCCCTTCTTGGGTATGTTTCAGAATCGGTAAGCTCCTTCCTAGGACCTCCTTGGTTTCAGAGTAGCCATCTTATAAGGGATAGGGTGATCGCAGGAGAACCTACCACCTCCTTTTCCTCTATATCCCCATTCAGCCCCCCTCCACCTCCTCTGCACAGACACCAGGGAGGATCAGACAATAAAAGGGAAATGCACACACTCTCCCCCTACAATTATCCAGATAATTGCATGAATTCTTCCTTGCATACTACTGGTTGTAGTCAGGATTTCAGCAGGAACTGTAGGGGACAGGATTCCAAATGGGGAAAGTTGAGAGAGTCCTGTTCTTACATTCCCAGACTTTATAGTTCTGTCTAGTGTTACATTGTTTCTTCAGGCAAAGATCTTTGTTAGCCTTCAGTCATATTTCTCCCTTCCCCCTCCCTTTCTTTCTCTCTCCCTCCCCTTTTTTGGTCCCTTTAAAGGAGACTCAGATTATCTTCTGTTCTTAATAGATGACTATAAAAGTAAAATTAATTCCCCCCTGTCCTTTAATATCAATATCTCTCCGTTAAGTATGCACATTCGTGAGAATAAACAGAATTAAGTGTTGCAACCCAAATCAGCAATTATATACAAGGTTTTGGTTTTTTTCCATGGGGTCTGGCTTATCTGGGGGTGTTCATTCTGCCGCAGGATAACCAGGGGTTATTTGTATTATTATTTTTTACAAGCTCATTGGGGCCTGAGCCAGCACCAACCTGGTAGAAAAAGCACCCATGAAGCCAGAGAGAGCGCCAAAGGAGGGAAGAGAACGCCAGACGGAGATGAAAAGGAATCACACAGAGAAATGCAGGGAAAGGAGCAGGCGGCAGGTCCTCGAACAAACGTGGCAGAGGGCAAAACAGGCATTCATGGACAGAGGTTTATTTTTACTTTATTTTCTTTTAATTTAGGGCTTGATTTTATAAAAGGGAAAATTCAGGGAAAGGAATTATCAGAGTCACAGCATGAACGCCCCAGAAGGGGAGAGCACTGTATAAATCCATGTGGGTGCCAGAGCAGCACCAGCGCTGGCTCAGTAGGGCTCGGGTCAGCCACTGCCCCACAGACTGCTGGCTGGGCCCTCAAAGCCCCCCTTCACCCCTTCACGGCCACCAGGGCTTCTTTGCTCTCCTTATCATCCCCATCTTTATGACGAGGCTTGTTAACAAGACCAGCGAGCTGGCCACGCACATCTATCTCAGCCGCTCATGGTCAGCCAAGCAGCGGCCAGCGAGGGGACTGGTGAGGCAGTAATTAATTGATTCCTCTGGACAGTAAAATATGGCCGCGTCTACACAAAACCCATAAACAATATCTGCTGGGCGTGAGTACATTGTCTCTCAAAGAATTTTTCCAAGGCATGTGTCAGGTAGTTCCGAATTTTTAGTAGCTAAAAAAGACCCAAGTGGAACTGTTTTTTTTTCCGGGGCCAAAACAGTCAGCCCAGTGTGGGGAAATACCTTAGGTTATTATTGCCTCTTGCACTGCACTGGGAGTGGGTTTTGTGGAGAAGAGGTTGGGCTATGGAATAACCTTTCCTTGTTGCTTGTGTAGACTCAGCCAGGGTCAAGGATGGGAATGGAGCTGAAGAACTGGGTAGGCCAGAACCCTATCCCTGGTTGGCTGGGAGGGAGTGGGGCTGTTTTAGGATTTGAGAGGAGCATAGAAGACATGGTCTAACCTTTGCTTCATACTGCATCCTAGGCTTGAGCTATAAAAACAGATTTTAAAAAATTAAACAAACTTCGGCTTTTTGGAGCCATTGAGTGCTCAGCACATGCCCAGAACTGGCCTGCTACCTGAACCTGAATGTTACACACCCTACCAGGCTACTGCACTTCCCTCTTCCCCCTTACCAGCTGGCAGCCCAGAGTAACTTTATAATGTATTTGTATTAAATCTAGTAGAACATGTCCTGAGACACAGGGGGTAACTCAGTCATATAATGCTAACTCCATACATGCGTGATTATTCAGTCAGACCCTGCTGCAAACAGGACTTAGCACTCTAAATATAGACCCTGACTTCAGACAAGAGGTGCAAAAGAGAAACAGTTAGGAGACCCCTTGTATAAATAATCCATGTAAACAGAGAAAGGGTCTTAAAAGATAAAAATAATACACAAAATTACAGAAGGACAGAAAAGAAATTTCATCCGGTGGAGATTGCCATTTTGCCATTGCCTGAGCTTCCTCCTGCTACTGTTTTAAGATCACCAGAGAAATGTGTATTATAAATACAATAATATGTGAACTCATGTGCTTCAGTGTATTTGGTACACGCACACACCATGTATGAAAACCTAATTTAAAGAATATATTTTTATAAACTGGGTAGATATGCACTTTGTGTATATGTATATATATATATATTTAATAAGATTATTTTTCATGCAATTTTTACGTGGGTATATAATATCTGGATGCATTTTCCGTGCTCGGGTTTTATGTGCCCTGTGGATTGTATACACCCCATGTAGCTAAATGATGAAGGACTGTACATTCCCTCTGAAGGATATATGCAAGTACACTGTTTATATACATAAATGAATTTTTACATGTGATAGATATACATGCTATATGTTTGTAATCTTTTCCAAGTAGGTTGCTTTCCCATATACAACAGATAAAAGTGCCTCTGTATGTATATTTTCTAGAGAAATATATTTTCATGACCAGAATGTATATGTAATGTAACCATCTGTACATTTTAGACGGTCTCAATATATTGGTTATATTGACAGTATGGCCAAGTGTGCATTTTCTAGAACATTTTTCCATGCTCCGCATGTGGGCTCTGCACCTTTCACAGGAAGCTTTCCTGGCTAGAACTGCCAGTGAATTCCTTCCACACAGAGCTGTTCTTCAAGAAGTTCTCCACTCCGGGTCAGGGACTGACAAAGTGAAGGCTCCAGGGTCCCCAGAAACTGGCTCTGGCTCACAGAGGGGAAATCACCCACAGGCAACGGCTAGGTCCCACTGGCTAAAGGACCGGCTACGTTTGGTCTCGTTCAAGCCTGTTCGTGGGCTCCTGGGCCAGCCTCCTTCGGGCTGCACAGGCTTCAGGAGCCTCCGCGAGCAGAGCCGCGGCCGATGTGCAGCCCGGCGGGAGGGCGGACGCCGCTGTGGACACCGTGTGCCCAGCAGAGGAAGGGCACTTGGGAGAAAAGCCTGGCACCCGCAGCGCGCCAGCGCCTCAGACTCTTCGAAGGCCCCACCAACTCACAGGGCGTCCCCAGGCCCCGGGTGCTCAGGGCCCAGAGACAGGGCGCGTCCGGTCTCCGCAGCCTCCACCGCTCCGGCCAGCAGGGGTCATCCCGTCCTTCACGGGGCCCGGCGGCCCCCGGGCGGCGCCGGAGCGGGCAGCGCGGTTGGGCGGGGAGCCACGCGGGTCGGCCGGCTGTGAGGCGCGCCGCCTCTCCTCCCCGGGCGGGACCCTGGCGCTAAGCGGGAAGTTGGCCTGAGGCCGCAGAGCCCTCTCCCCGCGGCCAGGGCACCGGGGGCTCCCGGCCAGGCCTGGGGAACGAGCGGCCCGTCCGGCGCGCGTTCTCCCCGGCGGCCGACACGCCTTTGTCTCTCGGCCTCCCCTGAAGCGGCGATCGCGAGCGCGGCGCCGGGCTGCAGCGGTGCGGGGCGTCCAGGGGCGGCGGGCGCGAAAACCTGCAACTCCGTCTGGATGGCGGCAGACACAGAGGGGAGGCCGCTCGGGATCCGGGACCGATAGCCGGCCTTGGGCCGAATGCACCGAAACCTTCGGCGCTTTGGTGTACCCCCTGCGCATAGAGGGTTGAGGGCTCCAGGGTGCGTTTCCTGCGCGGGCCTGGGGCCTAAAAACAGCTCCTGCTTTCCTGGTAATGGCGGGGAGGAGGGCGGGGGCTCTGGCCTGTCGGGAACCCTGGGTCCCGGGGGTTTGCTTTGTTCGAAGATGGGGCGGGCGGTCCCTTGCTCTGCTCTGGGTCTGAGCCATCGATCGCGCCTGGTTTCCGGCTGCATTAGCATCCATAGAACCCGGGCTGCCGGGCCCACCTCCCGCCCGCTCAATAGTGGCTTTAAATACCCTAGCTGCATCTGTGCACGTCAGGGTGAAGTAGAACAAGGTGGATGATTAGGGCCAAATACACAATTCGTTTGGATGGGATAAACTTACAAATACACAACAGCAGTATTATTTTCTACCGGGATTAGCCGATAATTCTCCCCTTTTCTTGCTCAAGACCGTTAGAGACACAGGGTTCTTTGTCTTAAAAATCAGTGGATTAAATTGTAGTTTGAAGGCTTAAACCAAATAGTTACAAAATAGGTGCAATCCTTGCCCAGATCCAGAGCTCAGCCATGCCGAGTACTTGGGTTGCAATTTCAACCATGACCTTTTTGGACAGGAGACCCAAGGATTTGTTTTTCAGTCACTGGGAGGAGGCTATAGTGTCTTTCCTTCTCTGACAGCTTCCCCAGTTACTGCGTCTCAGGGCCTGCATAGACACCACCACCAAGGTACCTTCTCCCTAAGATCTTCAGTGTCTGGGGATAAATCAAGGGAATAAATTAAGGGCCAGTAACTCCTGACCTCCTTAAATTCCCTCCTTCCTTTTTAGCCAGAAATGGCTTCAATATTAACTCTTCGTGTATAGACACATTAAGAAGAGGGTAGTCTCTTGCTTGGATACACTAGTATTCAGACACCCTGTCACCACCCGTATTGAGATCCAGGTGCAGCCATGCAGTCTCTCCCACAGCTCGTGACTGTCAGAAGCTGTCCAGTGCCCAGCCTCACCTGCACTCTGGAGTCTTTGAGTACCCCTCAAAGCTTGGGATCTCCTTCCTGCCAGAAGCCCTCAGCTGCATCAGACAGACAACTGGGGATTAGGGGCAAAAGGAGAACAGGACTTGGTCTAAAATGGCAAGTTTTTCTAGTTGCAGGAGTAAGGAAAGGAAAGGAGAGAGAAAGATTTCAGGGCAGGAGGCGTGGCTCAGAAGCTGAGCTCAGTGGGGGCCCCTGGTTTTCCGGAGCAGGCCCAAGAGGGTGGAGGGGAATTTGGAGGAGCCTCCAAGATTGGAGCCAGGCTGTGAGAAAGGGAAACTCAGGGGCCAGAAGGGTAGAAGCAGAGGGAGGGTGTCCCACCCAGAAGGAAGGGATGATCTGGAGGTGCAGAGGGCTCATCAGCTCAGCTGGAACCCAGACTCTGGCCTGTACCCAGGCCTCTCTCTGGCATGGCCCACAGGGGGTTGCAGGCTGAGAGAAATGAAGCCTACTTCACCTGCCCAGTCATCTTGCAGTATATAAAATGTGCTCTCAGGCAAGTCATGGGGTTGAAGTGGGGATGCACCAACCCCTGCCTGATATCCCAGGGCACTCTCATCCCCTCTCCAACCTGCTCAGTCCCTACCCTGGTTTCACTTCTTGGAGATCCTACAGCTCAAATTTCCTTTTTCTGGCCCTGAAGGTAGCTTCAGCCTCCACTGTGTTGTTTATGTTATGTTTATGACCCCACAATTGCTCAGATATCCCTTTCCTTGCCCTTAGTCTACTGTCCCCCAATTTTCTTTCTGCTAGTAATTGCTTAGGAGTGGAGATGGCACTCATCAACAGATCTTGGTTGCTCATATATTTTTGTTGCTTCTGCAACAGCTCTTCCTTTATTATTACACATTTTTTATTTTTGTTATTCACCTGAACTGGAGAATGGCTAGGAGGCTGGGGATCCCATTCTTCCGGGGCAGAGACCATGTGTGGGGATCCAGTCAAAATTTTCTTCTCAGAAAAAAATCACATCATCATAAGTCATGTTTTAATTATTATTATTAATATTAATATGATGAAGCAACTCTGTACAAGGACTATATAAAGGGAAAACGTGCTAAAGACAGACATTTGAATAGGAGGGCACACTACAGAGAGGTGGGGAGGGAGGAAGGGGAGGGCATCTACCCACAGGGACTACACTAGGTACTAGCAACAGACACACAGAACAGGACACAGACTGACAGAGAAGCTCACAGAAGTCAAGTTTAAAGCGACGGGAAAACAATATTGCATATCTTTGTCCCCCCACCCCTTTTGGAGTGTTCTGATCTCTCTTCTCTATGAGGCTGCAAGAGTCAGGCTGGAGTGGTGGAGCTTGAATCCAGCATCCCAGAGTCCATGAGGTCACAGGAGGGGCTGCATGAAGGGATTCATGGGTGACCAGGCAAAAGGGAGAGTGCCTTATTCCCAGGACCAGCGGGGAGTGCTCAGACTGGAAAGATGGTGATTTCTGCAAACTTGTGCATAGGTAAAACAAATTTGTGTGGGTGGGGAAGTGTGTCAGGTGCCCAGTGGGGGGCGGGCATGTGATTGTACAGCCACTCTGGAGGGCTGGATCTGGGGATATGAGGCTGCCTGCTTGCAAGTTCAGTCAGGAGAGCAGAATGGGCCCAGCCATGCTTATGCATTTGCTGGTGCCACTGTGCAACCCTGCACAAGGACTTGAAGCTGTGTGCTGGTAGGAGAGTGGGGTGGTGGTGGTGGGGAGGCTCTGGATTGCCTTTACAGGATATGTTAGGGGAGACTCTCCCAGATGGGAAGAACTCCAAGCTAGTGGGCCAATTTTACACTCTTCAGGCTGGGCTTCCCTCCCATCAGTCCCCTGCTTGTAGCTCTCTTGCTCCTGGCAAGGGTGGGTCAGCAGAAGGGAGGTTGAGGGGCTCTCACCAAGAGGGATAAAAACCCAGAGTGCAGGAAGGCAGGCCGGCAGGCTCTTTCACGAAGCTTCTCTGCTCTAAGCCAGCCTAAAGTCTACTGGGCTGGGGCCTTAAGGGGGGCAATGAATAAAAAGACTGGAGAAACCATGCTCTGGCCTCCAACAGGTCCTGGGATGTGCCCCTCCCTCTGCTCTGGTCCTTGTGCTCAGTGACAGGCTGGCAGGGGGGCGGAGGCAGAGGATCCTGAGACAAAGGGCAGTGTTGGGGGGTGGGTGGAGTGGGGGTAGGTAAAAGAGAGAAAGGAGTTGGGTGGGGAGCTACAGTGCCCCCCTCCTTCATTGTCAACAGCCTGGGAAACCCGGGCTGAGCGGGGGCCTTCTCGGCCAGTAGCCCCTTTAGGGGCGGATTCTCTTCCCGACTCGTAAATTATGCTGGTCCAGCCTCCGGCCGGCCGTGACCGTGAACGCCAGCGGGGAAGGGAGAATCAGCGGCGGCAGCCGAGGCTGCCAGAAACTCTCCGGGCCAATCAATGCCGCGCTTTACAGTCCCTTTCACAGCCTCCTGGGCTTCCGCAGGGCCAGGTGGAGCTCCCCGGAGGGCTACTGAACCTGAGGCTGCGTCTGCTCAGCTCTCAATTCCCCCGCTCTCTCGCGGCTTCCGGTCCGCAGCCGCGTAGGCAGCAGGAAGAGTGGATGGCAGCACACCTGTGAGCGAATGGGCTGACAGGGAGCTTGGAAGAGGGCTGTGGACCAGGAGACCTTTCCGGCAGCCTGCCCTAGGGGGAACATAAGGCTGATGATCATCTTGTCTGCAGCTGGGGCTGCGAAACGCCTGTGCCTCCGCCTGCTCTGGTCCAGGCTTGGAGGACCCAGACCCCAACGGACTCTGGACATTGCTGATCATTCTGTTCTCCCAAACCACACTTCCTTCTAGGTTTCCCCACTTCCTCCTGCCCTCCCCGAACTACCCTGACCACCTCCAATCCCTCTGGCCAGGCCTTCACTCTCATTCCATCCTCTTAGACTCTCCTAACCCCAACAACTGCGAGTTTGGGGAGTCTTGGTTCCACTGCCCCCACCCACAACTATTCCTGAAGGCAAACAGACTTAAGACCACAGAAGGAAAGTGGTGGGAGGGGGTGCCTGGGTCACTTCACCTCCGGAACCTCAGCCAGAGGCCCAGGGTCTGCCTCAAACCAGCCCCTCCCAGCCCTTCAGCCTTCCCTGCCCCTACCCACTGCCTGCAGCTGTGGGTTTCCTCTCTCCCTGGCTGGGTTCTTCCCTTCTCTCTGGAACCTGGCAGGGCTTGCTGGGGGTGTGTGGGAGGGAACCACAAACAAAATAGACAAGAGGATGTCCAGGGAGGGCCTGCCAGAGATGCCTGGCGTTCTAAGCGGGGACTGTGTCCCAGGCAGCGCCCCCTCTTGCTCTCTGCCAGAGACAGGCTCAGTCTGGGGCTGGCGCCCGTTTCTTGCCCCCTAAAAGAAGGAGAGAGCTTGCTCCCTCAACAAAAGTCTTTTCTTTTTCATTCTCCTGTTCTGAAACCAGATCTTGACCTGCTGGTCACTAAGATTCAAACGGTCTGAGAGTTCCCTCCGGCGCTGCCGTGTGATGAACTCGTTCACCAGAAACTCGCCCTCCAGCTCCGCCAGCTGCAACTTCGAATAGGGCTTGCGCTTCTTCCGTGAGCGGCTGTGGATCGGGTACCAGGGCGCGCCTGGGTGGAGACGAACCGGCAGGGTTGGCCAAAGGACCAAGAGGTGACAAGCCCAGTGCCCTCGATCCTTCCCTAGCCCCTCTCAGCCTTGGCCTAACTCCTTGCAGCTGGCCCCTCTCATCCCAGGCCCTTCCTCTCCCTGCTCCACTCCTTTATGCAGACCCCATTCCCGCCAGTGCCCGGACCTTCACCATTCCCTTTCCCCCTGTCACTCTCCTTGCCTCCTCAGCCCTACCACCCACAGCAGCATCCCTGACCCTTCTGTGTACCAATCTCCTCACTTCTCCCCGAACCTCCTCTTCTCCCCGGTATCCTGGCCCCTTCCTTTCATTGCTCCAGGATGGGGTCCCTGATCAGTTATAACAGACATGAGCAAGTAACTAGAGTAAGTCGTGTCCACTGGCATTTCTTATGAGAAAGACTCTAGGTAATAGGGGGCCTGAGGAAAGGCGTAGAGAGGCCATGGCAGAGCAAGGACCAAGCCCTTGGTCCCCATCCCCGCACCCCCCAGGCCTGGGCAGTCTCTGTCAGAATCCCCCTGTTCCGGAGCTGCTTGCCCCTCCAGCAGCAGGCTGAGGAAAAAGGGAATCTCTCCAGTTCTTTTATAGGGATATTTACATGTTTATAGGCCCCCACCCCACCCCACCCCACCCGCACTCCTTTTTAAAAGAAGAGCTTCCTCACAACACATTCTGTCACCCCAGGCGGCCCTCGCCTAGTCCTACACTGCCTGCCCTGGTAGATGTCCCGTCCTAAATAGCCCCACGAGTGGGCAGGGGTCCTTACCGCTAGCCGAGAGCCCGCCACCTGGGTTTAAAGGCGATACCAAGCTGCCGGGGTCTCCCGCACCGGCGCCCTTGTTGCCCTCGTTGAGCAGGGACGAACTGGAGTCGGATTCCAGAGACTGGCACGAGGGCGGGTCGTGCGGGGGTCCCGCGCCACCGTCGCCACCGCCGCCGCCTGCCGCGTAGTCGTACTTGAAACCGAGCGCCGGCGGCCCCGACGGCTCCAGCGGCAGCAGGGCTGCCCCGGGCCCGACTCCTGGGCCCGGGTCTCGTCCGCGCTCCTCACGCTTCAGGCCCCCGCCGCCCTCGGCGCATGGCTCGCGATAGTAACCCTTGCTGTCCTCCACGCGCGCCAGCTCGCACGTGCGGCCAAAGGGCGGGTTGAGAGATACTGGGCTGCCGAGATAGGGTTGCGGGTAGCCATTGCAGGGCTCCGCCGACGGCCAGGGCAGCGAGCACACGTTGTCGCGGCGCGGGTAGGACAGCGAAGGCAGCCCAGGCAGCTGCGCGCCAGACGCGCGGAAGTTGGGGAAGTAGAAGGTGTCTCCCGTGTGGATGTTCACCAGCGGCCCCACAAACCCGGGATTCAGGAGATTATGCTCGCCCATTTCCGCGGGGCCCGACCGGCAGCTTCTACTTTATTGCTATCTGACATTAAACATAGTTAAACCTGCACCGGCCACCCATTGGCCGTCCAGCTCACGTGGGCGCCGCCGCCAGGGGGATGGGTGGGGACAGTGAATCCCCCCCACCCCGCACCAACTCCAACTTTCCCCTTCCCCAATCTGGGGGTGGGGGGTACGACACGCGGGGGCAGATTTATTCGCTGGATTTTGGTTTTTAAAAATATCATATAAAACCTAATGCAAAGAGTGAGGCAATCGTCCGACGCGGGGCAAGAGGAAAAAGCTACGCCAAAAATACCCGCACATACACACTTCTGCACCCTGCACACCGCCCCCCCCAGATGTATTATCTTCTTGCCAACAGCTGTCCGAGCACAGCCCGTCCCTCTTTAATTAGCTCCTTTATTAACTAAAACCGTTGGAATTTACAATATCTCCCCAATAAATTACTATTAGATATTGTGTCATATAAAGTTTACTGGCTGTTTAAGGAGACGGATGAGCCCTTTGGCTCGGGGTTTATTTACAGTAGAGGCAAAGTGGGGGTGAGGACAGGTTTCCCTGCCGTATCTCTCCCAGCCCTGCTACCGCTGCATTCCTCTTCCTCTCTTTCTCCTCAGGAATCTGGAGGGGACAATTGGGGCATAATCCTCCAGGAAGGCCTCGGGGAATCTTTAATGCTGGTCTTTCCTCGGGGAACTGGGAGCCACTCTAGCCTCACACTTCCACCCATGGTTACAGGAGGGATGCAGATGGGAGACAGAAGAAGCTGCTGGATGTGGACCTGCCGGCCTGCTCTTGAAACTCTGGGGGCTCGAACTGATGTTCCCTGTGACTTTGCAGGGCCAGGAGGGCTTCCGGCGGGTGTAGGGGGTGTCTCCCGAAGCCTTTGTAGCAAGGGGCTCTGGGCCCCTAGCAGGGTTTGGCTGACCTGAGAGGCTCCTGGTTCTCACTGTGGAGGAGACACCCACACCCTGGAACCAACCCAGCCTGCTGCTGGGACCATCAGTTAATAGCACAGAGGCCAGTAGGTGTGCTGGGAGTGAGGGAAAGAACTATGGAGAATTACCTTGTTGGAGGTTTAAAATTATATTTATGATGCTAACCGTAGCAGCTCCTTCCGGAGAAGCCTGCAAACCCAACGCTAGCCATTGGCAAGATAAATCGACATCTGGAAACCACAATCCAATCTCAACTAAATCCACAGAACACAGGCAAGCAGATTAAAATGAAAATCAAACAAACAAAAAAGCCTTCAAAACGAGGTGTAGTCTATTGAAGTCTTGTAGACAAAATACTCGGATTTCTGTATGATGATTTCAGGCTCCTACCCAATTCACGGCTTTAAGTAATACAAGGTGAGATAAACAATTCAGCAAATGTCTAAATACTAGAAAACGCCAGGTTTATAGAAAATTAGAGACCGAGAGTGTCCGAGAGAATACAGAAGAAAGAAACCCATGCAGGTCAAATATCTGAGAATGAGCGGGAGCTACCAAAGCAGACCGAAGCAGAAGATTCTCATCTCCCCCTTTTTCTCTCTCCTCTGCAGGACGCGGCAGAGAAACGCAGATTCTTCGAATTCCACAGCTCCCCGGGCGATTTCACATCCCAAACCGGAGCTGCTCCCTCGGACAGAATGTGTCCGCGCGGGCGTCGCCCAGCCCGGCGTAGCTCACAGCTAGCGGCTTGGCGCCCGCCCCTCGCCCCGCTTCCCCATCCCCGCCCAGGCCTGCTGGGCCGCCTAGCCAGGTCTCTCCCGCCCCCAGGAGCCCTCCCCACGCCCGCTGGGCCCACTTGCCAGAACCGAGGTCAAGCGGTGGGATGCCAGCCCCGTGCAGTAATCTCCAATCAGAACCGCAAGAGCCAGGGCGCGGAGGATCTAGCAGGGGACCGCCTGGTTTGGCCTTTTTGTGCCTAATTGATTAAGGAGCTGCGTGGCTGCAGAGAAGAGCATCCCTTAGCTGCAAATTCCACGTCACAGCATCTCCAACAACGTACTTATGCCCCCTTTTCAAGATGCATTAACGAGCGCCACTGAAAATATAATTTTAAAAAATTTATTTTGGGGTTATTTTGGTCGTAAAGATAAACAGGGTGTGACTTTAATATTGTTGCTGTTTTCAATCACAACACTGCGTTGGCGGCGCGGTCTCCAGGCCTCCAGGCCTCTCGCGCAGCCGCTATTGTTGGTGTGAGTGATGCCGAGCTGAGCTTTGCCTAGTAATCACTAGTCCTTGTGCGGTGGAGGCTTCTCCCTATTCTTTTTCCCACCTAGATTACGCCAATCTCCTAGAAAGAGGACCTCAGGAGGAAGGTAGCAGCCTCTCCCCATCCCTCCCTAGCTGGAAAAATCTTAGGCTCAGAGCTCTGCTCCGCTGCCCTCCCAGCCAGGCCGCTGAGAACACAGAGCAGCGGCCACAGGGCGGCAGATGCAACGCCAGGGAAATGAGGATGGAGTGAGGGCTTCTTTCTTCCAGAAACTCAGTTTCTCCCACTACGATTTAGCCCCACCAAAAAAGGCCATTTTCCCCAGGCTTTGGACACTGTGGGCACAGGCACACGCACCCTCTTCCTTCTGTGCTGCCGACTTTGATTCCTCTCGCTGAGAGCTGCCAAAAACCATCAGTAAAATTCTCATTCCCAAATCCTGCTCCTCGAGGCCCATTGTGAACCTAGTTTTCGGAACCCAGGCAGGACCCAGGCAATCACAGCGCCCAACCGTCCCTTGCAACACAGTGGTTCTGTCAGTCTTTGAGGCACCCTGCCGCGCACGCAGCTCCGGTGTCCCTGCCTTAACCGGGCTACCACAAACAGGCCCCAGAGCGCCGCCCGCCGCCTGGGTCCCCGGGGCCGGCGGGAGACTCGGGTGCGAAGCTTCAAATCTATATCCAGCCTGGGCGAGAGCTGCTTACCAGGAGGTAACGGACTGGATGAGACTGCAAAGGACTCGAAGCCCAAGGCGCTGGGCAGCCGCATCTAGCCGGGTTTAATCCGCCTGCATTTCGCAGCCCACATGCAAGACTATAATTGGCCAGACCCAGGCTCTGGACCCGCGAACGATCTGAGCGCCCACTCCGCACATTCATCAAGTCACAAGGTTAGAAGAGGTGGCCTGCCTGCTGGCCCCTGGCCCACGGGTTCCTGCTGCAGCTGGCCTGGCTCAACCATACCCCGCTCATTAACTTGGGGGTTAAGACTGAACGCCAAGATGTGGTCCAAGGCTTTCCTTGAAGACCCGCGGCCGCCCTCGTGCTTGCGCGCATCCACCAGCTGGCCTCGCCCGCGCCTTCTGTCTGTACCTCTATCCCTCCCGCATCTTCGCCGCCTCTGCACAACCCCTCGAACCCCTCCAGGGCTGAGCCGGACGAAAGGAATTAATTATAAAATCTACGCCGGCTCTGGTGGCAGGGCCAAAGCAGCTGCGGGAGGCTTAGGCCACCGCGGAGAGGCTGTGAACGGCCGTGTTTGGGCTCCCGCGCCAAACCGCGGATAGAATTATTCCTAGCGGTGCTGCCTTCTCCACGTTATCCTAGAGGCCACGGCGGCTCAGTTCAAGGTCACTGCCTAGTTTGCAGAAAGCGGTTCTGCCGCATATGCAAATGAGGCTCTGGCTGGACCTGGGCCTTGTAGGGATATGAGTGAGAGCTGGGCTGTTGGGGAGAGGGGAGATGGAAAGCAGCGGCGGAGGAGGAAGTTCTGCCCCCACCCCACTCCACCCCACTCCAACCCTTCAGCCCTCTCTCTATTTCCCCTCCTTTGGGGCAGCTCAAGCTTGGGACAGAATCTTTGTCCAGTTCCGACAGGGCTAAAAGGTGACAGTAGGACACTGTTTCCTATTTCTACCCTTCACTAGCTCCTCCGGGGGTCAGTTGGAGCCCACCTGGCTCGCAGCCCTCTCCTCCGGTGCCCGGAACTTAAGGAAAAGCTTGGGAGACCCCCTTCCCAGATGCTGCTTTCTAGGGATCTGCAGCCTGGAGGCGGGTGGTTAGAGGAATCTTGGGTGAGGGGGCTCAGGCAGGCTTTCGGGCTCACACAAGTGGCCTGGAGTTAACAGCGTCCTTACCTCCTCCAGTCCTTCTTCAGCTCCTCTGAGCTCCCTCCCACCACAAAACCACAGGCTGATTACCACTCAGGAAATGGGGAAGCCGTAGGAGGGGTCCCAGGTGGGATCAACTGGGACACCATCTCTCCACCGCTCACCTGAGCATCCCTAAATGGGCCATCTTCCCCCATTTCTCGGTCCTCTCGGCGCTCTAATAGTTAAATAGTTTTGCGGCTCTGACATTTTCCCCCTCCGCCAGCAGAGGATCTCCTCCGCCTAGTGAATTACTGAGTGTCAGGAAAGGTGTAGGGACCAAGTTAAAAAAAAAAACAACTCCCATCAAACGCCACACCCACAGTCACCTACAACGTATCCGAAAGTCCAGGGCCTGGTCTCCGCGGACCTCGAAGCTCAGTATGGGGTGAGAACCATCCCCCGAATGCCCTCTGCCCTACAGCCAGCCGGTAACTCGCTGTGACCACTGCCTCTGGGCAGACCTAGCTCTGGGGAGGAGCCGAGATCTGCTTGGGGTCCGCTCTGCCCAGTTACCCACTGCTCCTCAAATCCAAGCCCCCAGTGCAAGGCTGGGGACGCGGGCGGACCGGGGTGGGGGCAACAGGCCCACGAGGCTGGTGGGGGTGAGAGGGTGTGCTGCTAACCTCGAGGCTGGCTGGGCTAGGGGAGCCGGCGTCCACATACCTTTGGAGACAGAAGAGGTTGAGAAGAGTGCGGGGCGGGGGTTCTCAGCCCCTAGAAATCCTCTGGGGACCCCATCCCCAAGGCCGCGGCAGGCCTAGCCGTGGTATCGGAGGAGGGCGGGGCAGAGGAGGCGGAGGGAGCGGCCAGCGGTAGGCGCGCGGGAGCCGAGTTGCAGAGCATCTCTGGAGAGGCAGCCTTTTATGGGCGTTATTAGCGCCCCTGTCTAGACTGGAGACGACACCTCCTCCGTGTGTAAACAGAGGCGGCGGGGTCTGGCGGGAAGGGGCGATGGCGCGTCAAGGGGGCGAGCAGCCCTCCCCTTCTGTGGCCACCGGAAGATCAAGGCCTTTTCCACCCTCCCCCCTTCCCTGTGCTCCCTGTGATGTCAAGGTCAGAAAGACCTAGTCACGGTCAAGGCTAAAAGAGGAAGAGCCTGGTTGGTTGCGAAAAGGCTCTGGCCCCCTCCTCCTCCCAGAAGCCCCTTGCTCCCCAGGGCCCCTCAATCATCCACTAGTGCAGGTCTGGATACACATCTGCCTAAACTAGCCCTTGGAGTTTTTTGAGGGGTGGGCTCCCAACACCTTCTCAGTTGGACCCAGGGGATCCTAGTGTGAGGAGTTTTCTTTTGAACGGAGAGGACTGCTGCAGGGTTCTCAGATCCAGTCCTCTGAGAGACAGAGAATGTCCCAGAGGCTGCACCCGACTTATACCCACACTAGCCTGCTGACGCAGCCACCAGGATCCACCTCAGGAGGAGATGGTCTGGAGACAGACGTGAAGGGATCTCCTGAGATCTGCGGCCTTGCTCCCTCAGGTGGGTTCCTGGCTTGTAGGACTATCAGCTCAAAGGCCCATTCTGCTGGCTCCTGGATCTGGGGACTAAGACTTAGGTGGGGAAAGGCTTTTCCCCCAAGCTCAGAGAAGGATGTAATTGAGCCCTTCCTGGCAGCCCAGTAGAGTGACCTCCAGATGGAGAGTCCTGTGAGGCTCCAGCTCAGTCTGGTCCCCTAGTCCTTGTCTGGAGTGTGGGGAGTGGGAAGTGACATCAGATTATGAGAAAGATAGCAGGAGCCTCAGCCCTAGAGAAGAAAGGGGAAACCTCTGTGCTCACAGCCTTTTAGACCTCTTCTATCCCTTTGTACCCTCGTATTTATCACAGCCTTGCTCTCACACAAACACAGGAGACTGGTGTTGGAAAGAAGATTTGCATAAAGAAGAGAAAACAGCACACACTCTAAGATGGCATTTCTACTTACACACTTACACACATAAAGGCTGAGGAGACTGACCACACACACACACACACACACACACACACACACACACACACACACACACACACACACACACACACCCTCACAGGAATGTCTTGAAGAGTCCCAGCTCTTGGAGAAAGGAAAAGTAAGTGACCAACACAATCAGGGAAAGAAGACTACATTTTCCCAACTTTGTCTCCCAGAACATATGCTCACACAATATCTGCTTAACATAGGAGTTAACCTTCTCATGCTTGCTTACTCTTATGGTAGAGGCATCTCCAAAATTGATCCAGGCACGATAATCCTCCAAAATCCATCTAGACATATCTAATCCAGTGTTACATCCTGAACATCCTGGCACACCAGGGCTCCCAGGGACTCAGGACTGCAGTCCTTGCCTGGGTTACCCGTGTCCCAGTGCAACCCCAATGAGCCTGCACAAGCTTTCTTCCTCTCTTTTCCATTGCCCCCTTCTGGGGCCCTAGGGCGGGTCCCTCTATGTGGAAAGACTCCCTCATTTGACTATGAGCAGGCTTGTGAGCAGAAGAGGAGGAATCCCTCAGAGAACTCTAGACTTGGCTTTTCCCAGTGTGTCTCCAACTTCCACTGTCTACAGCTACAGCACAGGACTACTCAATGTACACTGAAGTCAAGAGGGATGGGGGCCATATCAAGGGAGCCCCAGACCTCTTATCTACTCTGTTCCTTTTTTGAACCAAACACACACATTTAATCTTCTACTCTGTCCACCTCAGTGGAGACTTAAGGGTTTTGGAGAGAGGTTAAGGTGGTGGGGGTGGAGAGAAAGAAGAGACAGAACTAAGAATGAACGTTATTTCTGGTGGATTCACCTATTCCCTCTTGAATCCCCACTTCACAGCATGTGGTTCTTTGAGAGTTAACCCTTAGTGGAAACGGAGTAGAACAGGACTGGCAGCCACAGCAGCAGGGCTTCCAGAAGGTGAAGTCTTCAGGCTCCTTGTCTCTCAGCTTCCTTGTGCAGTGTTTGGATGAGTGTGTGTATATGTGTGTGAAAGAGACTACCAGAAACAGGTACTTAAATAAAATTTTAAGAACTTCAGCCATCAGTAAAGAGAGATTGGAGAACTCTGATTTCCAACCCAATGCCTCCAGTCTTTCTGTGTCTCATGAGAGGAAAAATATTATATATAAATAAAAATTGCTGCAGTAAAGATTTAATCTGAGATAACATTGTTTTAGGCTATATTGCTTTTTAAAAGTCTCTTAACCTGACAACTTAACGATCTCATTAACTCTGCCAGATAGGGAGATAGGCACTGACGGACGCGACAGGGAAAACAAATTAGTGGCAGAGTCTACGCAGCTCCTGATTGCCTGGAAGACTGGGGTTCTCAGGAACACTGGAGAACAAAAGTGGGGATGGCTTAGTGAACTGGGGCCCAAGGGGTCCTAGCTGCCTGACCTCTCCGCCTAGGTTGCTGGGGAAGAAAAGAGCAGCCTGGGAATGCTGAGCCTGCAGCTGCCGCCTAGCAGGGCCAACAGAACAGACCCCTCCCTGGCCCCAGCCCTGAGCTGGTGGGAGGGCTTTGGGACACTCTGGGGGCAGTAGGGCCCCAGAGCTTAAGGTTATCTCCCCACTGCTGCTGCCACTGCCAACACCACAACATCCAGATCCAGGTGAGTCCCGACTGTTAACTAAAGTGAAGGGCAGTGTCCTTTTCTCACTAACCTGCTTCAGGCCTTTTCAGTAGCTCATTATATCCTTCTCTCCCCAGTATGCACTTATCTATTTGGGGGCATCGGAATGGGAAGGAACTTTCTCCTTAGATAATATCTACAATCTGAATAACTCACTGGGAAAAAAAAAAGTGGAGCAAAACATGAGTTTGGGATCTACCCAGCTGGTGGTAATGTCTCTATTCTTCCTTCTGACCATTCTGGCTGAGTCAGGGCATCAGAGACTGAAGAGCCAGTGGACAGAAGGGGCTTTGGAAGAAATCTGAGTAATAAAATCAAGGCAAAAAAAAAAAGAGATTTATTTTAAAAACAGGTTTGTGGGTATTTTCTTTTTGCATTCAGTACATTGTCATTCAGACATCACAATACTATATACAGATACACAACATTTAAAAAAAGCCTATTTCTGATGAAGATTTTAAAAGAACACTGTTTTGTAATGCACCAGTGGGAAGGGAGGAGGTGAGGGGGTCCCCCCCCAGCACCAGGTTGGCCTTTGAGAAGGGAAATGTTAGGCAGCATCTACATTAGCTGGTTAATTGGGGGCTGATTATTTTCACCTCCTTGAGGAAAACTGCTTTCCTCTGGACAATCAGTAAAAGTGAAAGTGTGAGAGGCCTCTCCCCAGTTATGGCCTCCATGGAGAAATGACCAGAGAGGGACGACTCTGACAGGGGACCAACTCTCCATCCCCTCGGAAGAGAAATTTGTCCTTTCCTTAGAAAAAAGCTGTTTCTGTGCCTGGACTGATCCCCAAACTCACCAGAGAGAGAGAGAGAGAGAGTGAGAGAGACAAAGAGAGGGAGGGAGGAGAAGAGAGAAAGAGAGAGGAGACATATTTAGCAGTGGGGTTGGAGTTTCCATCCTCCTTGAATTTCCGCATGATGACTGAAAGCAGAACAAGGAGCCAATGGGGCAAAGGCAGCTCCTGGATATTCAGTTTCTTGGTTGAGGTCGTGGGGTAGGTGGCTCCTCGGCCAATTCCGGATTTTGTTTAAACAAATAGAGAAAGAAAACCTATGTGCTGTCTTTACCCCAATCACGATGCCAGATCCCTAATAATTATCATTAATATTAACACAACTTTAAAAATATGCACAGAAAATCTTAAGTGGGAAATCTTGCCTAACTAAGGAGTACGGAAGGGACAGGGAACAGGAGGGTCTGGAAGTAAAGTATGAGCTCGCCAGGTCCTGCTCGAGGCCACACCCTCAGGAGGGTCGTCTACCTGCCTGGGCAAAGGGTGAGGCAAGAATGGGGTCATCTGGGGTTCCCCAACCCTGCTTTGGTTGGAATGATCGGGCTCTTTGCTGCCACTAGGCTTTCTGGCAAGGCGAGGGATGCGGGCGAGGGGGAGTGGAGGCCGGCAGCCTTCCTCCCACAGCCCACCCGGACACACCTCCAAAGCTGTTGAGGCTCTTAGGTCCCATCTGCACAGGACATAGGTTGAGGATGAGGTGGGGAGTAGGGGGCGGCAGGCCGCGCCCTCCGAGCCTCTTTGCCTCGGCGGGGCGGCTCCTTTCTTGTTAACATTAAATATTTGTCTGCACCCGCGAAGCGTCCTTCGGTGGGTTCGGTTATGGTACAAAGCGGCGACATAAATAGACGGGGCGGGCGGCCGGGTGGGCGGTCAGGTGGAGTGGAGATGAGGTGCTTTCGATTTGCTGACCACCTTCTTCTCTTTGACCCGCCGGTTCTGGAACCAGATGGTGACCTGGCGCTCGGAGAGGTTCGTGGTGGCAGAGATGCGCCGGCGCTTCTCTTTGGTGATGAACTTGCTGGCCGCGTACTCCTTCTCTAGCTCCTTCAACTGCACCTTGGTGTAGGGCACCCGTTTCTTACGCCCGCGCCGGTAGCTGCTTACCTCTGGCTGCAGGGGAACCACGTCTGCGGGAAGAGAGAAGACGAGCGGCAGGAAGTGAATCTGGAGGTTGGACCCTGGGCCCTGGACCCGGCTAGGGGTCCCTCAGCTGCACGGCTGCTGAGGCACAAGATTCCCGCAGGGACTCAACGAGGGCGGGCAGATTGTTCCCAAATCCTTTGCACCTCTGTTAAGTAGCAAGGTCACGAGTAAGGTGAGGACACTGGAGTATTGCCTCTCGCGTGAACTCTAAAAAGAGGGGGCACCCAAAACTCCAGAATCAAGAGAAATATTTTAATGCAATTTAAAGGTAAAATAAATGCAAAAAGCCCATAATGAACAGAACATCAAATTCTAAAATTAACACAAGACCATTATTGACCATTATTACTGAGTTTTCCTTTTGCCTCAGGCTCCAACATGGTTCTGTACAGCATTCGTTGTTATTAGAATCTTTGTACCCTTAGAGGGGGTGCCTTCAAATTTCACCCTCGTCTGCAGACCTGCAGGATTGCAGGTATTCAGAAAAATCTCTCCTTCCTGCAGTTAGATCATTTGGGCATCCATCAGCATATGTTCTCCCCCATTATCAGGGGGAGGTGTTCTGTAGTATATTTGAAGGAGGGCTTCAGTGGGCCCAGACCACCAGCTGGAGTGCATGCCTTTGGTCACTGCCTCCGCACTAGGTATCTGAGGACTGCACCAACACAGAGAGAGAAAAAAAGTGCCCAGGTGAAGCCAGCCTGCTTGGGAGCCAATCACTCCAGGAGTACAATGTTGTGAACCACTTAACAGCATCCCAGGTGGGAGGTCCTGGTCCTGGGAAGTAGGCAACTGGGTCACTGGAAGTAGAGGGCCCTAGCCCTCGGGTCTGCTCACCAGAGGAGGCATCATGAGATCCCTTCTTGGGCTTACACCAGCTGTTTATATACGTCTTCTATAAAGAACTCAATGTCCCCCTTGTCCCCAAAAATGTCTACTCACCAAAACAGAGCAAATTGTTCCAACCCCCTCTCCACTCTATTCCTCCAAGGCTTAGGGAAACACCTCCATCCTGTGGAGAAGCCCTAACCCTAAACCCTAAATGCCTTGTCATCCCAACCACTACTAGTTTCTTTACTAAGTGGGCAAGCAGGGAACTAGGAAGGTTATCTGAATAACTGACCCCTCAATTTTTAAAAATGTAATTGTTGGACCTCTCCAGGCAAAAGCTGAGAAGGGCTGAATATTTAGGGTTTCCCTTCATTCTTACTGCCCTTTGGAAGTGTAGACACAGTCCAGAATGAAGACAGGAAGCTCTTCCTGAAAATGCTTGTTTTTATTCCCATCCTCATAACACACTTCCTCTATATCCATTCCCATTGGGTCTGCTCTCTTCCAAGGACCCCTGTCTACAAAGGATAGGGAAAGGAGAGGTCATGATCAAATGCAGAGGGGGAAGTAAACTGCACAGGAAGAATATGGCTTGGTTAGGCTGTCTTAATGATGACAATTTCTTAGGAAAATTGTTGAACTTTCTTTATGTAGAAATTTTTCTCTCTGTAGGAATGGAACAAGGTTTTTAAAAAATCTGAAAAACAGAACATCTTCACTTTAATAGAGCAGATCTTTTACATTAAAAAGGAAAATTTTGGAAAATACAATTTTTGGAAAAAGTCTTTTAGTTCTCAAAGTTGTGTTTTACTCTTACAGATGTAACTATGGTTGGAAAATTGATGATTCTGGGACAAGAGTAAAATGGAAAGAGTAAGTAGTGATACCATGAGGTGTCTTTTGAAAATCCTCTGAGCATTTTCCAGGCTTATATTATTAAACCCATTTTACAAGATAAGGAAGCTGAGGCTCAAAGTGGTAAAATAACTTAAGTGGCAGAGCCAGATTTTAAACTCAGATTTCCTGACTCAACACAATGACACAGTAAGTTCTAAAATGGAAATAAGCCACCTGGTACAATCCAGCTTTAAAATACCTCCTTTTTCCCTGGAGAGCAAAATGAGATAAAAGTGAGTTTTGATTCCTGAATTAACTAGATAATTGTCCCTGATTTTTTACTTCCCTTTCTGGAAATGCTGACAATTACCCACCCAATTTTGGTGCCCTAAAACCCCAACTATAAATTTCCAATGAGGTTTAATCAACACAACCCTAAAAAGGTCAGTTTAAAAAGACAGATAGCTGGTCTACATTGGTTATTTTTCTCTATAAGATGTCAAGGATTGATTTAGCTAAGTTTTTCATGGATCAAACCAAATTGCTGGTTGCTCTGGCCTTCTGGGGAAATACCTCCAGTCTTGCCTTCTCAAAGAAGCCCCCTTTCATTGTCTGCCGTCTTGTCCGGAAAGGAAGCAGGATCTACAGATGTGGAAACATCTGGAAGCTTAGATCTTGAGATGTATCTATACTGCCTGAAGTAAGGAGGGGACTTAGCTATTATTTTTACAATCAACCCTTCCCTAATCTCTCTCCACAGTGCGTGCGCATACACACACGCCACTTCATACCTGGTAACCTAACAGACATCTTTGAGAAGCAAATAAAAATCAGATAAACACTCAGCCATAGTTTTTCCTTGGGGTCCTGTGTACAGGTTCCTACTGCCCACCTGTGTTGGACTGCCCATTTCCACAACAGGGCTCTGGACTCTGAAGAGGACATTGTCCAGCTAAAAATTCTAGCTGCTCTTCTCAACCAAGATCCAAAGTTTTGTCAGTAGGGACTTCCAGTATGGCCCAAAGAACCCACTATTTCTATCTATTGTGCTCTCTCTCCCAATCCAATGCCTCTGTATCTGTCTCTCTCTCCCTGTTTCCATCACTGCCAACCCCTCCCCAAATACACCTTCTCTTGATTCTCTCTTGGAATTTCTGCATCTCTGTCCAAAAAAAAAGTGTCTACATGTACCATATGAAGAAAAAAGGAAAACAAAAGCAAGAGCAATGAAATAAGGGTCTGTATAATTGGAGTAAAGGAAGAAGCCATAACAGATCTTGGCTCTAATTATCTGGATCTTTCTGAACAATTGCCTCCGTCTCCTACACCAGCCCAGACTGCCATGGATGAGGTTTCGGAGCCAGAGGCGCTAAAGAGAGACAGTAGTGTTTATCCCTATATGCTGCCGAACAAACCGCAATTGCACAGACAGAGTTATCTGAAAATCTCACTACCTCTAAAAGATCTCTGTGTGGGTAGAAAGATGGAGGTTGTCTGAAGATAATTTATTTTTCATCTGCCTTTTGCCTGGACCTCTGCACTCACTGAGATACACCAGCCCGACTCTTATTTCTACACAGGGAGCGTAAGCCCACATAGCTGCTGAGACACACTGGGTTTTATATCCATTTCCATGCTGTAATTTGTAAGTGTACTAAATCTCAGTTGGGCTGTGTCTTTTTCTTTTTTCCAAAGATTTTTTCTCTAGAAGGCTGTGATCAAAAAGTGGGGGGTTTTTTGGTGTGTTTTTTTTTCTGAGAATCTTTAAGTTGTTTATTTTGTTCAAAGATATTTCTGAGCTTCTTCCCAAGCCTGCAACACATACATACACAGAGATGCCAGAGCAGCTCTCTCTCTTCACCTCTTCGCTCTAAACCCATGGCCATTGCTCTAGACCTGTGCTTCTGTCCACAGTGGGCCTGGTGGGCATCTGCTTCTTTGCCCTTCCTCCGCTTAGCATGGCTTATCAACTCTCCCTGCTCCAGGAATTCCTGCTGGACCCCTATCTTTTAAGCAGCTTTCATTTGGTTGGGATGGGGAATTAAAGGGCCATCTCTCTACAATTACTGTATACCTACCTGTGAATTGCCTAGCTTCTAGAAATGTATTATCATGTGTTTCATGTTAAGTAGTTAATAAGAGAAATCATATTACATAAAAATATTATAGACAATGCAGAGTAGATACAAAGGATAGGGAAAGGAGAGGTCATGATCAAATGCAGAGGGGGAAGTAAACTGCACAGGAAGAATATGGCTTGGTTAGGCTGTCTTAATGATGACAATTTCTTAGGAAAATTGTTGAACTTTCTTTATGTAGAAATTTTTCTCTCTGTAGGAATGGAACAAGGTTTTTAAAAAATCTGAAAAACAGAACATCTTCACTTTAATAGAGCAGATCTTTTACATTAAAAAGGAAAATTTTGGAAAATACAATTTTTGGAAAAAGTCTTTTAGTTCTCAAAGTTGTGTTTTACTCTTACAGATGTAACTATGGTTGGAAAATTGATGATTCTGGGACAAGAGTAAAATGGAAAGAGTAAGTAGTGATACCATGAGGTGTCTTTTGAAAATCCTCTGAGCATTTTCCAGGCTTATATTATTAAACCCATTTTACAAGATAAGGAAGCTGAGGCTCAAAGTGGTAAAATAACTTAAGTGGCAGAGCCAGATTTTAAACTCAGATTTCCTGACTCAACACAATGACACAGTAAGTTCTAAAATGGAAATAAGCCACCTGGTACAATCCAGCTTTAAAATACCTCCTTTTTCCCTGGAGAGCAAAATGAGATAAAAGTGAGTTTTGATTCCTGAATTAACTAGATAATTGTCCCTGATTTTTTACTTCCCTTTCTGGAAATGCTGACAATTACCCACCCAATTTTGGTGCCCTAAAACCCCAACTATAAATTTCCAATGAGGTTTAATCAACACAACCCTAAAAAGGTCAGTTTAAAAAGACAGATAGCTGGTCTACATTGGTTATTTTTCTCTATAAGATGTCAAGGATTGATTTAGCTAAGTTTTTCATGGATCAAACCAAATTGCTGGTTGCTCTGGCCTTCTGGGGAAATACCTCCAGTCTTGCCTTCTCAAAGAAGCCCCCTTTCATTGTCTGCCGTCTTGTCCGGAAAGGAAGCAGGATCTACAGATGTGGAAACATCTGGAAGCTTAGATCTTGAGATGTATCTATACTGCCTGAAGTAAGGAGGGGACTTAGCTATTATTTTTACAATCAACCCTTCCCTAATCTCTCTCCACAGTGCGTGCGCATACACACACGCCACTTCATACCTGGTAACCTAACAGACATCTTTGAGAAGCAAATAAAAATCAGATAAACACTCAGCCATAGTTTTTCCTTGGGGTCCTGTGTACAGGTTCCTACTGCCCACCTGTGTTGGACTGCCCATTTCCACAACAGGGCTCTGGACTCTGAAGAGGACATTGTCCAGCTAAAAATTCTAGCTGCTCTTCTCAACCAAGATCCAAAGTTTTGTCAGTAGGGACTTCCAGTATGGCCCAAAGAACCCACTATTTCTATCTATTGTGCTCTCTCTCCCAATCCAATGCCTCTGTATCTGTCTCTCTCTCCCTGTTTCCATCACTGCCAACCCCTCCCCAAATACACCTTCTCTTGATTCTCTCTTGGAATTTCTGCATCTCTGTCCAAAAAAAAAGTGTCTACATGTACCATATGAAGAAAAAAGGAAAACAAAAGCAAGAGCAATGAAATAAGGGTCTGTATAATTGGAGTAAAGGAAGAAGCCATAACAGATCTTGGCTCTAATTATCTGGATCTTTCTGAACAATTGCCTCCGTCTCCTACACCAGCCCAGACTGCCATGGATGAGGTTTCGGAGCCAGAGGCGCTAAAGAGAGACAGTAGTGTTTATCCCTATATGCTGCCGAACAAACCGCAATTGCACAGACAGAGTTATCTGAAAATCTCACTACCTCTAAAAGATCTCTGTGTGGGTAGAAAGATGGAGGTTGTCTGAAGATAATTTATTTTTCATCTGCCTTTTGCCTGGACCTCTGCACTCACTGAGATACACCAGCCCGACTCTTATTTCTACACAGGGAGCGTAAGCCCACATAGCTGCTGAGACACACTGGGTTTTATATCCATTTCCATGCTGTAATTTGTAAGTGTACTAAATCTCAGTTGGGCTGTGTCTTTTTCTTTTTTCCAAAGATTTTTTCTCTAGAAGGCTGTGATCAAAAAGTGGGGGGTTTTTTGGTGTGTTTTTTTTTCTGAGAATCTTTAAGTTGTTTATTTTGTTCAAAGATATTTCTGAGCTTCTTCCCAAGCCTGCAACACATACATACACAGAGATGCCAGAGCAGCTCTCTCTCTTCACCTCTTCGCTCTAAACCCATGGCCATTGCTCTAGACCTGTGCTTCTGTCCACAGTGGGCCTGGTGGGCATCTGCTTCTTTGCCCTTCCTCCGCTTAGCATGGCTTATCAACTCTCCCTGCTCCAGGAATTCCTGCTGGACCCCTATCTTTTAAGCAGCTTTCATTTGGTTGGGATGGGGAATTAAAGGGCCATCTCTCTACAATTACTGTATACCTACCTGTGAATTGCCTAGCTTCTAGAAATGTATTATCATGTGTTTCATGTTAAGTAGTTAATAAGAGAAATCATATTACATAAAAATATTATAGACAATGCAGAGTAGATAATGATTACCACATACTAAAATTCTATCATCTTCAAATATTTTGGCAGCCAGAAATGGGGTGCCTAGTGTGGGTTCCATCTGCATATTCAGTTGTGTTATACTAAGTAATCTCATAATATTTACAAGAATTTTATCTGCTGCACTTCCTAACATCATTCAGTGATTTTTCACCATCTGCCCTTGCCCCAATCCCGGATGCAGAGGAATTTGAGGCCCACCCTTAGGAGATCTTCAGGTCTATATTTCCCAATGAAAATGTCCCTGGGTCCACATGTACAATTGTGGGGGGACCATCTGGGCAGTATGAGGAAACATCCATAGCTGTTCTGGGCCCCCCAGGATCCCTATAGGCATCAGAATGGAGCTGGTGAGCCCTCTCCCACTGAGCCCTGTTTACAACTAGAGCAGACTCAAGCTCTGAATTCGCTAGACCCCAATCCTGATTTCTCAGTTCAATGCTGAATCCAAAGCTCCTGATGTGGTTTTAAGAAACCTGGGACTGGTCTTTCCTCCCTGGTTCCCTGGTGAGTGATGAAGGTTGTAGGATGCCCTCCTCTTCAGAGATGCCTCAGTTAGAAAGAGAACAGGACACCGGTAAATTCCACCCCTATACATAGCTGGAAAAAACCAAGTGGTTCCCAGCTTGGGCCTGGACCCCAGATCCCTCCAGAACAGGTCTTCTGCCATCTCTCATCTTCAGTCCTCTATTTCTGTGTCTGAGGTAGGGATAACTCTCTTTCTCTCCCACATTTGGGGGAGTTGGCAATGGGAAAACCTACACGATTTGAGTTCAATATACCAGAGAGGCAAAGAAAATTTTATTTCCCAGGAGAGGGATGTGAACTCCCTTCTCTCCACACCCTCTCCGGAGATGTTAGCTCTTCTGCTTCTTTAACAATCAGGAAATTTGTCGCCAAATTGTCAAGATAAAACAAGAGAACAACACAAAAAAGAAACATCCCACAGTTCTGTAGACCCCAGCAAATTAGACCCTATTTAAAAAATTGTCTAGCTCCTGAACGATCTCATGGAAATTTAGGCAAAGAAAATATTTGGAAGTTCTTATTTTCTCCCCAATTATTCGGTGGGTTTAGGGTTTTGTCCTGGCAGTTTGGGATTCTCCAACACCCGAGGCCCACCCCACCCCCATTCCTGGCCGGAAGCGGGCTTCTCGGGCCAAAAGCAGCGTGCGAGACCGGAGCCTGCTGGGGGAGGAGGAGGCGAACCCCCGACTGGAGCCCAGCCGGCGGCCCGGCGCTCGGGCGCCTATGATTGCTTCACTTTCGGCCGCGCAGCTCCGGGGAACGTGTCGGAGCAGATTTCTTCCCCGGCGCATTCCTCAGCGCAGCTCGCCCGGCAGGCTCCATCGGCAGCCCAGCAGAGCCGGCGCGCCGGGGCCAGTCGGCGGGGGTGGCTGGGGCGCGGAGCCCCGGGGCAGGCGGGGCGGGGAGGGGTCCCTGGCGGCGGCGGCGGCGGCGGCGGTGGCGGCGCACGGGCCCCTTCCTTACCTGGAAAGGGAGACTTCCAGAGGTGGGCGGACTGCGACTGCTCCTTGGAGCAGTACACCTGACTGTCCCAGCCGTTGGAGAGAGCCCAGTGTTGATAGCCTTCGACGGGGATGAGCGCGTCGTGACGCGGCTCCGGGTGTCCGCTGATCCCAGGCACCACAGACACGTCCAGGTAGCCGGGCATCGCCTGGTAGGAGCTGGCGAAGCTGGGATAGAAGGCAAACTCCTTGGCCCTGGAGGACAGGTCGTCACCAGGCAGAGCGCCCGACGGTTCGGGGTACTTGTCGCCCGGGTGGTAGGCGCAAGGCTTTTGCTGCAGGTTCACGTTGTGCGACAGGCGGCAGCCGTAGTAGCTGCCACCAAACGGGTAGCCATAGCCCAGGGTGGCGCTGGACGATGTGGGGGGCGCCGGCGGCGGGGCGCACTGGCGCGCTGCCTCCGGGGCCGGGATGTCCGTGTAGACGGCGCCCTGAGGGGCGCCCAGGGGAGCCGGCGGGCGGCCCAGCACGGGGTGCGGAAGCAGATCGCGGCAGTGGCTGGCTGGACAGCTGCTGCCCAGCCCGTCCATGCTTGGGGCTTTGCCGGGACTGGCTCCGCTGCAGCCGCCCCCCGCGCCGCCGGCACCACCACCTCCCCCACCGCCGCCGCCTCCGCTCTCCGCCGCGCTGTCCTCATAGACGTACATAAGGCTCTCCGGCCAGCGCGGATGCAGGAGCAGCGAAGTCGTCATGACATGATCTGCTCGAGCTTTTTAAAAACTCCACTTGCCAGAGGCAGCGAGCTAGGGAGACACCTCGCTCCCTTTTCCCCTCCCCCATCCCTCCTCCCCTCCCCACCCGTCTCCTCCTTCTCGTGGTGCTTTCACCTCCCTCTTTACATTCCCTCTACGCATGCGGGGACAGTTCATTAAGAAATCCGCCGGCTCTCTCTAGCTTCCCCTCCGTACGCCTCCCGCACCCACGTGACGCAGCTCGAGCACGTGATACCCGGGAATGGTCTCCTGGGGTTCCCACCCCTCGAAGTGGGGCGGGGCGAGAGGGAAGAGGTCATTGCTGATTGGCCCTCAGGAGGGGCAAAGAGGAGGGAACTGGGAGATTTAAAGGTACAGGGCAACGCCCCCTGACAGGCGCCAGGGAGGGAGAGGGAGGCGGGGAGGCTGAATTTGGCCGACGCAAAGGGGTTTGGAGGGACGAGGACTGTTCTTCGGCGCCTCCCCCTATGCTTAGGATGGGTAGAGGAGACAGATCCTGCCCCAAACTGATCGCTGTGACTGGATTGGGGCTTGGAGCTAAGGGTGAGGGAGAAACTGGATTATTTTTTTCTTAATAAAGAAACTAGAAAGCAGACGGAAACGCGCGGGCAGGGCGTGGGGAGCCCGGGCTCTGGCCCTGGCTTGACTTCCCTGGAGCTCATGGCTAGAGAGAACCCGATGCCGTGCAGCGGGAGAGACTTTGATGCCGGGACTGTTTTCATTTCCGACTTTCAGCCACCTTCCCCAAAGCCCCAGTTGTCTGACAGGGACCCTCTCGGCTCCTCGCCCGCAGATTTTCTTCAAGCGGAGGAGAGAGGGCTTGGAGGATGCGATAGCCCCAAAACACATATTATTACACGGCAGGGGGATTCTCTCGTGAAAAACGGAGGAAGAATAAAAGGAGGGAATGAAGGCAATAGAATAGACTGATATTTCAGTGTACAATAAAAATAAAAAGGCTTGGAGTGAGTTTTTCAAAGCAAAGGGTCGGGGTTAGGGGGAGTAGATTCGGTCTAGGGAAGCTAAAAAGCCCTGGAAGCGAACAGGAGCAGGAGCTCTCAGGTCGGTGCACAAAAGGAAATGTGGAATGAGGGAGAGCCGGCGGCGCTGCCCTTTAGGAGGGACCTTTCCCAGGCGCAACTCTGCAAGACCCCAGGAGGCCCTACCTCCGACCCGCGGGCCCGTCTCCGCCCTCGGCGGCCTGGGCTGAGCTTGACGATGAGTGCTGAGCGGCCAGGCAAAGCCTGGATCAATGCAGTTCCCAAATGGACAACCCCAACTTTAGCTCCCATGGCTTTCTTGGGGTCACTCCCTATTAGTGTAGAATGTCTTTATACTTTAAATCGTCTCATATTTCAAAGAAAAAAAACCACCAATATACTGATTTTTCAAAAAGCCCCCCTCTTCTTTCCTTCCAATCTCCCGACTTGTCAGGCTTCTTGTGCCCAATTTGGCACCTCAACAGTCACCCCTTTCCCGGGCACGTCTCCATGGAGTTGAGCCAAGTTCCCTCTCAGCACAGGGCCTCCCTGAGAAGAGGTAATAAAGAAGGGGGGGAAAGGGGGAGAGGGGCTGCAGCATCTCCCTCTTTCCTGCCTCTGCCACAGATTTTAAATGCTGGGTGCTCCTATCCGGAGAGCACACAGGCCATGGCCATGGAGTAGCCCAGGTTAAGCGGGACCCACTGGATGCCTGGAACCCCGGAATCTGAGAGCAAATGGTCAGGTCTGTACTAAGATCTGGCCCATGGGCTGCCTCCTTTTTCCCTGTAGGGAAAAGGTGGTGGTTGACAATGGAGAGCGCCCGGCTGTGGGCAAGTTAGGATAAGAAACGTAATCCTTATCATCCGGAATGGTCACCTCAGAGTTCAGAAAGCTGACTTCGGGCTGGGCTGGCAGTAAGGGAAAAATACAACAGAAAGGTTGAAACGTAAGCAGGCTAGATTGAGTGTGGGTTGAGGGAGATGATGCTGGAGGGAGAAACGATGAGTCAAGGGGAAGGTGGGGTTTTGCAGGGAGCCAGTTCTTAGCTAGAAAGCTGGCTTCCCTGCCTCTGGGTCCAAGGTCAAGGTAAACCGAGGAGAGCAAACACTGGCTGACCATTCTAGACTGGGTCGCGTGACCTTGGCCCACCAGCCTTTCTGCTGCCTGGCTAGTCAGGGTAGATAGTGGGGAGGTCAGCGCCTGTTCTCAGCCGCAGGTCTAGTAGAGGTGGCTTCCCTTCCTGTGAAGTGCCAGGTCAGTGGAGAACCAGGGGTAATGTGGACTGGGCTCTGTGGGGCCACTGAGAGAAACAAAGGGTCTAAAATGCTCAGCCTATTCCTGGGGCTCCCTCCCCGATCCAGGAATGCTCTAGCCCAATGCCAAAGCATCTTCCACTGGCCGAACTCAAAGACGCATCCTCTAGTCTTTGGGAGTAGGGGGCAGAACGGCGGGAAGGATCTGGATGCCAGGCGGCCCAGCAATAAATAACATTAATAGTATGTTCTTTTCCAGGTTTATATAAGGACATTAACTATTCCTATTGCAATGAGATATAGATTTAATTAACCCAGCAATTTTACAATTCCGTTTATTAGGGGCACTATGCGGCCAAAATTTAGCGACGGGAGGGAAGAGAGGGAACCAGTTCCCTTCCTCAAGACCAGGCGAAGAAGATGTAACCCCCCCACCGCCACCCCCACCCCAAGAGACTCGGGAGAGTGGGAAGGCTGGAAGGGAAAGTTCAGGGCTAAGGGGTTAAAAGCGGCTGGAGAAGCGTCTGCACGCCCTGAACGACTCCCCACTCCTTCGCTGGGTTCCCCGAGACCTTCCGCGCCTGAAACTGCCGGCTGCACGAATGCGGCGCGCCGGGAGCGAGGAGGCAGGCGGCGGGAAGTAAAGCCTTGTTGGTTAATTAACTTTAAGCCCGGGTCGCTTCTCCCTGCACCCACCCCCGAAAAAAAGTGTAGATCTCGCTGAGACACAAATAAAACCAAATTAAACACTCCAGGAGAATATGCACCACTGGAAACGTGGTAATTACATCTCCAAGGCGATCCCGCCCTAGAAAGCGGGGCGCTGAAACCCTTGACTTTGGCGCTCACTCCAATCACACGGCCGCGCCTCTCCCCGCGGAGCTTCACCATGGGGCCACGGAGTTTAACGGCGGAGGAAGTTTTGGGGGAAATCAAGAGGAATGTGGCTCCTCGGTCTCTAGCTGAGCTGCTGGTGTGGGGTTAAAGATGGAGCATTTCATTATATCAAGGAAAATGGAAAATGGCCCCTCAGCCCCTCGGGGAAGCCCCAGCTCTGCTCTGGGCTTTTTCTTCAAAGGGACATTTGCGAAGCGGCAGCAACCACTTTGTCCTGAGCTTCCTCTCAGAATTGAGTTCCAGGCTAAGTTCAAGCTGAAATTCTTTTCATATACAGGAGATACTCAATGTGCCTTCTCACTGGAAATATGTGTGTGTGTGTATGTATGCGCATACATGTGTGCGTGTGGTGGTCTAAGTGTATGTCACTGCCTAGCTTGTGAGTTTCAGACCCCATGCAGCCTCCAAGCACTGTTCCAGAACATGCCCTTGTGGACACAGCCCAATGTGTTCATGAACATACCCTGCTCTATGCTGAAATCCTCTATATGCAAATAAAGATCTCTGCAGTTCTATTTACCTCTCTGAATACACACTTAATTTACATGCTACTTTCTAGTTAGACCTCATCCTACTTTCTAGTTAGACCTCCCCCAGAAAAATACTAGGAAAATGAAGGTCAGATGTTTGTATCTTTCTGAAGTTAAGAGGTGGAAGACATAGTCCACTATATTAAAGATGAATTCAGGGGTGTACATTAGCAGCATCTGCAGCAAGAAGGTACAAGCTTGATGCACACATTTGAAGGCTGGGTGTAGATTGGAATACCAGGCTAGGGAGAAGGGTGAGAAAAATGAGGTTGGTGTGTCCCCTATTCAATACCCAGATTTCCTTCTCTGGATATTAAGCATCAGTTGATTTCCCCCTTCCTCCCCCCCAACCCCTTTCCTGTTTCCTCCATATTCCCCAGAAAAAAGAGCTTGAAGCTCTGAAGCTCCTGCCCCCTTTTTTTATGAGAGAAATTCCAGTTTAAAAAAAGGAGGGGCTGGGTTGAGGCTGCAGGAGAACAAAGAGCCTCACCACCATGGGGTCTGGATTCTGGCCCAGACTTGGGGCCCTGGTGGGCGGGCATAGAGTTTGGGGGGCCCTTTCCTGCCCAGGGTCTGGGCTGCAGGTTGGAAGAGATTTGTGGAAGACAGAGGACATAGGGCTTGAGCAACCAGGGAAGAAAGGGATGTTTTGGGTGAAGAGGCCACTTATAGGAAGAGGTTGGGGCTCAGGAAGGGCCTAAGGGAGGAACCCCTAACACTGTGTCTGAGTCGGGGGAGCCACCCACATGCTCAAAGGAAATTCTTGGTGGGTTGCAAAGGATGATACTGTGTGTGGGGGGGGGAGAAATGTAGCTGATCTTGGGGCTCCCTGGCTCTGCACAGTCCCCTCCTCATCTCTTTCCCTCCACCTCTCTGGGCTCTGGAAGGTCAAGGGATGGCCCAAGGAGCATGGAGATGCAGATGTCACCTCCCATAGGCTCCTGGATCCTTCTGGAAACTGCTCTACTTTTATCTCTCCACCCCCACAGCCTGGCTTTAGAGAAGAGCCACCCAGGTTTCTCCTTCCAGCCTGGAAACTCACCTCCTGGACAGTGGCTGCCATCCTGGCATCTTCCACCTTTATTACTCTCCCTGCCTGGGCCCCCAGTTTGAGGGAAGATGGGACCAGGATAACTGAGACACCACTTTGCTCCTAGTTCCAGTTTTCTGCTCTCAAACCCAAACTTGCCTTCCTCTAGGGCCCATTCACTTCCTTCTTTCAGACATCGGGTAAATCCATTCCCTTCTGCTGCCAACTGAGGACTTGCTGCAGTGCTGCCAGAGGGTTTGTGGAGCCACACCAGACTTTCCTCTTTGCTTCTGCTGGGATCCACACTGGGGTCCGGGTGTAAGCTGTTATCCCCAATCTTTTCATTGATT